TGAGGCGAACACTGCGGACTATAAGAACTACCTCGAGAGGGACCGTATGGGAGGAAATTATGTGTGGGGAAAAGGGCGATTTTTGCTTTCTAGGTGCGCTGTCGACGCAAGTGGGACAGAAGTTGCGTCAGGTTGCCCGTCTGCAGAAGGACATAGCCGATGTTCGCCAGAAAATCGATCAGGTGAATATCTACTCATAGATTCTTGTATTGAGCGTCGGTGTGTCGATGGTAGAATCGTACTGAATGGGAAGGCCGCAATACTCGTCTCCGAGAAGAGCGGGAACACGTCCGAAAGCATCTAGCTGAGCTTAAGAAGATCATGCATGCAGCGAGAGCTGAGGAGCACACTAGGTGACTATGTGAATTCTCACAAGAGAGAATTACAATGAGAGTCCCCTTCTATGATCAGGATGTTGGATTTGGTGGAGAATGCAGACGACTGTAAAAAGCAGCTAAAGAAGCAGCTTAGTTGTGAGGAAAGAATTTTAAAGTTGGCCGAGCTCTGTCGGAAATACGAGACTGAACGAGAAAAGGTTTTGCCGTTTTATTCCAATGCTGATGTCGATCTGGATGAGCTCAACTTCGAGGTGAGAGTTGGAACCTGTTTGGCGTTCGGAAGTGGATGCGGCATTCAGGATGAGGAACACCGTGAGGAGATTCGGGACGTATTAAAACAACAACAAAGTAGTTCTGCTGCTGGCTGTGACGAGAGCACCTACCTCGATACGTTCTTTAAGAAGGTGGTCATGTCATCACTGATGAGGGCAAATGTTCTTTTTCAATTGACAGTATAATAAGATTCGCCTGGATACCCTTGCTATAGAGCGCGAACAGAAACGTCTGGAAATGGAGAACAGACAGCTGCGGGATGTACTCGACCAGTTCGTTGATGGTAGTACTACTTGGGAGGTCTCGAGTCATGTTGAGAGATAGTTCACCTCGTTATCTTCTACAACCAGCACAATATCTTTTCTACTCGCGAGAGTTCAATGTCACACCTCTCAAGACCAGTCAGTTGAATGACAAAACTTTATCTCGTGAATGGCGTCTCAAAAGGGGGCGCTTCTTGACCGCTAGAAAGTCCGCTACCTCAGCTCTTGCTGCGCATGCCTAAGACATGTGTCTGCTCATCAGGAGTTAGTTTGAACTCCGACACCCTCACCAAGCCAAACTCGTTGCTTATTGTGAACGGCCGCATCAACCTCAACCATATCGGGGCTCGACGGGCAGCAGGTGAGCTGCACTTACGTCGTTGGCGTATGGCGATACTGCGTTTAGGCACGGAGATGCTTGGGAAGCCTTTAGTGCAAGAGGCCCATGTGAAATTCAAATCATGAAGTTGTTGAGTAACCGTTAACGCCGTGTTGAGTTGAGTTAACACTGTGATAGGAATATAGTAGGTGACGATTGTAGGCTTTCACGGAGGCACTTGCACAGAATCATTGTCGCTGAGCTCGAGGTTTAACTAGCTACTGAGCCTTGCTATGTTTTGCTGTTTTTACCTATTGAGAAAAGCTCTACTGTTGTGTTATTATGGCTCCTAAGACCAAGGCCAATCACGATGACCTGAATACAGCCACTGGGATAATGGTGATTTTTTCCCATCATCTGAGGAGAGGCTGATTTCTGTGATGGTGGCCATTTTACCTAACGAAATCGACACGTGGCAAATGCTTGTATCAACGAGAAACGACTCACTCTCTATGCTAGAGTCTCTAGCCTAGAGGAGAAGTTCCGAATGATGATGTTCATAAGTGCTGCTGAGTGCATTTGATAATGAAATTACTAGAGGAAAATCGAACATACAAGTCAGTTCGCAGATTCGATGAGATGAAAGAGAATTCTGGGGATTCATAAACTGTCAATTCTGGCTGGAGGTGGCGGCTCGTCATGTGTATGCGTGCAAAATCGTATCATGCGCTTCGACACAAGGAATTCCAAACATGGGACATGAAATTCGTATGAATCTATAAACGACTCCTTTACTCGGTCATTGTCGATAGTTTCTGGTCTTACATATCCTCCATGTTGCCTCGTGTCGTCCTCTCATCTCGACCACTAGTCTCAGCGGCAACCGTATGCCGACCCTTGTGGGCTCGGGCGTTCTCGTCTATGCCGGCTGCATGCCCTGGCCCTATCAATGGCCCTGTCTGTTTCGAGGATGACATTGCACATGTTCAGGTAGAGGCTTGTCTGAATGTGGCCGATCGGATGCGTTTTTCAGGTGAATAACGGTTATAGTAAAAAGTACGCCGATGGATGGGAACGAATCTTTGGGAACGGCAAGGGTAAAGGTGGCAAACAGGCTACCAAAAAATAGAGCGAGATTGAAAACACCCCCTCATCGTTACATTGCATCTGGTGTACTCATTTTGTTCCTCAACTTTCACATTCCTGCGGTGTTGTATTACATGATACGACTCACGGGTTGCCTTCACCCAGTCTGTTTTCTCTCGATGTCTGGCACGCCGGCAGCGGAAGTGCCCCTATCTCCTCCCAATGTGGTTACAGCGCTGAATGCATCTGTGTCGAGTGATGCTGTTATGAGAGGTATGGCTATTCAGCAGCTACAACGATGGGAGACGGCACCGGGGTAGTAGCAGGCTTGGAGGTTGGGGTCGATCAGTGTTGTAATATATGATCGCTTTCCTCAGTTGACCCTAGGAGTTTTTTCACTAACTATAGGAGTTCATATGCGAACTAGGGTAGAAATGCACAGGAACCCGCAAGAATTTCGGAAAATTTCCTCAGAATTTCCATATTGTCACCAACATATGTGGTCGACCATGAGCATATTTTCCCACACTGGGGTCGATTCTTGTTTAAAGATACGCTCTCATGCTCCTCGGTGTGTACCTCGACGCGAGCACTGACACACATTCCAAGTTCCTTGCTATCACCATGTGCAAAAACACAGTAATAAGAGATCGAATTTTAGCGAGTAATTTTTCCGTCCCAGATTGGACGAAATTGGCAACCCAGATCCTCACAGTGTATTAGCCAAGAGGAACGGAATCAGTTAAAGCAGAAGGTAATTCTTTCTTCTAAGAAACCTTATGGACCACAATGTTCAGCTCGTCGGGATTCTCTACAACACGGATATCGCGAAGCTCGAGCAATTGGATCAGTTCATTCTGCTACTACGCCGGGTTTGCCGCGCCGAATTCCCTGCGAAGTGGCCTGATATGGTCAACTGGATGGCGAGTAACTTTGAAGTGACGGCTAGATGCATAGCCCATCGTCACTGTTAAGGTTCTATGAAAACTCTAGCCACCAACCTGAGCTCAGTCACGAGAGAACAGGTGTTAGCACTGCTCAAGGTCGTTCATGGCGTTGTGAAAGAACAGCAGACGAAAAAATTACTAAGTGCTAGGAAGCAGACATTTGAGGTCGCCCCTCTGATACTAGAGGGCCTTTTGCCGGTATGGCAACACTTTGCTGGTACGACAGATTTCTGTGTGAGAATCTACAGTGGCTATGTTGTGATAGGTACAACTTCGGATTGGGAACTATGTCGCATACTCGATGGAACAACTCTAATACTTCTCTGCATTGGTTTTCAAAAGCTTTATTTGGTCCCGTCTGGGCCCAGCATCGTGGCGAGCATATTCCAACGACTACACCTACTGGTAATAGAAAATTTCTGTGGAGCAAACGGGTGATCTTTGGGGTAAGGTGAGTTCATATTCGCCAGCCGACAAGGAGTTCATGGCATACCAGAAGGATCTGAAGAGCCTTCTGAAGTGGTTCGCCCAGATAGTGCACACGCACCCACTCGCCTTGGCAGAGTGTGGCGTTGACAAGATGCTCACCACGTTTCTAGGTCGGCCCGGTGGTATTAGCGGAGCGAAGCGGAATATCGTTTTTCTCAGCACCTGGCAGCGGTTGGATTCACCTTGAGTGCATGCCTGAGTTCTTCTATCAATACCTGATCAATATTATACAGTACTGTGTGAACTGCACTGCTTTCCGAAAGGGCATCAGTAACGTTACAACGAGCCAGGCTGAGGACGAACAAATGCGGCAGAAATTGGTATGTCGTAAGGGCAGTCCAGCCTAGTATATGTTCGCTTTCCTCATCAAGTGTATATACAGATTCGTGTAGGAGTTCACGGAAACCAATGAGAAATTCCTAAATTTTCCCCCCAGAATTTCCACAAATGTCGTCACCCACACATGTGGTTGACCATGTGCATATTTTTCCTCACTGGTCCAGCCCATCACCTTCCATCAGATAAGCATTCTCCATCCCCAGTTCGTCAACTTCATCACCAACTCGGGTGGCTTGGGGTCCGCTATAGTAGAGCCAGTGGTCAATGCAGGACTGTGTGTGAATCGGGATAGGCTCAATGAGTGGATCGACGAGCCGGAGCAGTACCTCACCGGTGAGCTAAGGACGTGTGAAAACGACGAAATTGCTCTGGGCTTCAGGTCCGCCTTGCGTTGCGACTGACCTCCGACTGGCGACAGAAGCCTGCTTGTTGGCTGTTCAGCAGGAGCCTTTCACACAGGCTCTTACTGAGTACGTTGCGGGAGCCGCGAATGGACTAGTGGGATGTAAGACTCGAATTGTATCTTACTTTTGATGTTCTATAAAGTTTCTGTCATTGTTGTGATCAGCTATTGGCCAACTGGCAGCCTGTTCCTCCTCGTCAGCAGCAGCTAAGGAACTGAGCAAGTGTGATGCTGTAGTATCCATGTTAAATCTGTATCATACAATTCTGCGAAAGGTCGGCGAAAACGAAACGGATCCTAATCGGAAGTAAATCAAGGGGCGATCTTCAGTGGCCATAGGTGTGCTTTTCCTTGTGATCAAATATATACTATCAGTGTTGTTGGGAAACCAATGCAGTAGCCCCTCGTGAAGCCTAGATGATAGGCCCCGACTAGTATAGGTCGTCACTTCCTGGCGTGGTAGGTATGCGGCGCTTATAGTTGACCAAGTGGCGGTACCAATACTCCAACAACAGCCTAGTGTAGCCAACGTTCATCTCAAGTACCGAGCCCTCATGGTGGGTATCTCGGCATTGCATTATTGGTCATCACCATTCACTGCTGCCTCTCCAGCTCCTCCGAACATGGGCCGGAGAGCTCGCTAGCTGCCAAAGGGTGGAGATATGCGTGCAAACTGTATGGAGGTGCCTTGAGTCTAAAAAGGAGCACCTTGGGGTAGTCTTAGGGGTTTATGGAATATCATATCGATCGCGAACGGATGAATCAGCAGATCTAGTGAAAGGACGCATTTGCGGCCATACCTATCTGTTCACGTAGTTCCCGCCTCGAGGGAATTGCTGGTGGCGTGGTATGACCCGGTGATGCCCGAGTTGACAGTCTCATAGGGAAATCTCACTGAATGGGTATATGATCGATTTACTTGGATAGGTCTCTAGTGAGCACTCCAGAACTTACCGTTAGTATGTGCGACATCCATACTTGATCAAACTTCGTGCCATAGTGCTCACTCGTCTCGAGTTGGTGCTCCTTCTCTCAGGTGAGATTCCAAGCAGTGCTCTCCCTACGATCAATATTCGACCGAGATCCGGAGCACCCAATATGGGCAACTGATGGGCTCCTGTCGAACATCATAGGTCAGGCTATGAGCATGCTAGGCAGTTCAGGGGGAGTCGATGTAGCTCTTTTTTATGATGTATTTCTACGATGGTTCATTACTTTAGGTGCCTGAGGCTGACTGGCGACTCCTGACTGCAGTCACAAGCATCGTCAATGAGAGCGAGCTGAGCGAAGCGTTGCAGATGCCACTCTTGCAGACGTTGGTAGGCCTTGGTTAACGCAGAAGTAATTCAATTGATGTCTATAAGGTGAATCTGTGGCGGAGCCCTGATACGGACGAGTTGGTCAAATTCGCCTTATTGGACTTAGTCAAAGGCCTATTGGCAAACTACTACTCTGCGTCAACGGTACGGCGGTTGGTCCCTATCGTTTGCATCAGGGTGCTCTCAGTACTCAGTGGGGAAGGAGTTGAAGACCTATCCATCACTTGTGGAGTGTAGCTTGACTATGGCGATGGATGCCTCGGGATTAGCTGGACAAGGTGAGAGCACAGTAGACGACGAACAAGCTTGTTTGCCGCGTGGATGAATCTCTTTAGCAGCACTCGAAAAGTATGCTGGTGTTCGTGGTAGTTCCATACCCTTCTTCGACTGGCTCGAGCCCCACGTGTTCGCCCTTACGAGTTGGGCGCACACCCGCCAACGCCCCTCCACCGTCACCGGCCAATCAAGGTAGGCATGGGTCACCCATATAGTGGACTGCCCTTTATTATCGTCCCACAGCTACTGTCATGGGAGCACTGTCGGCCACCCAGGGGGCGTGCTCTACCATCGGAGAGGCAGGACTGTCGCTGTTGGTCAGTGTCCTTCGGGCCGTCCGAGGCCAGGAACAGGTATAGCTGAACTGTTGTTAAGCATCTGAACATCACAGAAGTGTTTCTTAGGTTGCTCGTGTCCTACCGCTCTTCCCTCGGTGTCTGGCTAGGTTCTCAGCGCAGTCTGTGGAAAGTAAGTTCTACTAGGGCAATCTGGGGCAAGGGTCTCCTGGGCAGATTCGGAGCTGGCAGAAGTTGACATCGATATCATCACTGAATTTGTGGCGTTGCATCTGTTGCCTGAGTACAACCCGAACGCTGTGGAAGCGGTGAAGTCGAACCCCCGTGGGCAATTCTCGGCACAAGGGGCCGAGGCTCTCTCGGCTCACTTCGAGACCATAGCTAGAGGGATTAAACTGGTAGGAATTCTGGGACGCAAAATTCTTAGATGTTTTGTTTTAGCATATACAGCATCGAATCGACCTGTATTCGCAGGATCCTGAGATGAATGCCCCTAAGGCGGCTGATGATAGAGTAGCTGATAAGGTCTTCCGGTGAGATGGCGTTATGGCTGGTGATGCAGCTGGAAAGCCCGCTCAGGTTGGTACGGATACTCCTTGTGGTTGACGAGAGGCTTGTGGAGCAGATAGCCTTTCCCCTCTACCAGGTGAGTCAGCTGTAGCTACCCCTGTTGTTTATTTTCTTTTCGTTAGCATTTCCTTACCTACTTCCCTGCACCAGCAGGCCAGCCGGCGAACGGACCCAAATCGACACCACTCTACCCGTAAGAGACGGGAGTACTTTTGGTGGAGTTATTTTGGGACTATCAGTTTCCGAGAAGAACCTCTGTTGATGACATTCGCGACGGCGATCGCCCATCACCCTCAGAAGTTCCTGTCTTTGGCAGCTAGTGGCGGTCTGGAGTCGGTCGCTGTGGGAGTTCAGAAACTGATAGGATGTAGGTTGGAGCGTCGTCTCGGGGGATCGGTAATAGCATTGGTATGCTCATCATCACTCAGTGATGCCAGCTGACCACAGCAGTAAATCTCCACCGTGGAGAAGTACGGTCGATCACTGGGGCTGTCTGCGATGCTCATTTACTTCAGGCTACCTCCTTCCTTCGGTGAGTCAGCGGTGTCTAGTCCTGGCGGTCCCTATGATGTTGCTGTCTGCTGTGGCTGATGGCCGATTGGTCGGCCCGGAGGCGAAGGCCCTGTGGGTGTCTCTGTGGAATCAAGTGAGGGACTTGGCTGGGGTGTCTCCTTATGGACGCTCTTTGTGTCAGCTGGATTGCCTGGTGGACCAGGTGGAGACTGCACAGGCGAAGGCCGGTGGTCCATCGGGAGTCAGCGGTCTGCTAACTTCCACTCTGCGGGAGCTGCGTTCGAGGGTTCCCTCCCATGCCAAGACGCCGTAGGGCCCAATAGCGCTTAGAAGGCTCCTAATTGTCCATTCAGATATCCCTATCGGGTTAGCGCTTGTATGATAGCGTCTAGTCTGCCACCAGACGTAGCCTATGCTCAGGACCAGGCCATGCTGGAGTGGGTGCTCAAGGTGGCTGTCGGCACTGTAGGGGCGTGGCTGCTGTCCATGGCTCTTTACTGTCCCGCTGTAGGTCACCTCATTCGACCAGCGAGTCGGGAATGATGCTGGGCGAACCCTGCTGGGTTTCATAGAGTCCGATAGACTCACACAAGTTGTCGGACAAGTTGCTGCTGCTGCTGGTCCATCCTTCCCTCCTACTACTACGTAGTTGTCATCACTTGTGAACCTTTACGTGTTTCCACTGTCTACACGGTAGTTTGGTTGCCAACCTGGCAGGATGTAGGCAGCCCCCGGTGCCGCCGAGGGCCACTACCGATGCAATATGTAGAGGGACACCTATCTTACCAGTAGGGATCCTGGGATCTGTATTCACGCAGCTAGTGTTTGGATATGTCTGAGGTTGTTCCCAGGTAGCATTTCCCGGTGACTTTTGTTGTAGTTAGACTTGTTCTCTTTCATTCATGCAAACTTCCAGCTATGTCTATTGGGAGAAGCAGGGTGCGGATAACCTTTGTGCCGTTCACTGTGTGAATTCACTGCTCCAAGGCCCGTATTACAATGGTAGTGGTCAACAACAGTCGCTGGAAATGCTACTAATGAGCTTGCTTCCTTCTAGGAGCGGATTTGAACTCCTTTGCTCGAGAGCTCGACAGAGAGGAGGAAGCGCTCCTGGGTACCAAGATAGCCGATGGTGAAAGTCAGAACTACGATGCTTCGGGCAACTACTCTATTGGAGTTATCGAGAAGTGTTTGAAAAGATTCGGCGAGCTTAGGGTAGTGTGAAGTGGCAGGGGCCTCTGGAAGACTCCAGTTTGTCAGTGTGTGAATATCATGGGGGCGAAGACGAGGAGTGAAGTCTTCTCGGCGCCGCATTTGGAGAGTGGCTACGTGTGCAATCAGAGCAACCATTGGTTCAGCCTCAGGAGGTTATAGGGATATCACCCCTTGTAATGCGCCATACTAGTGTGTTTAGGGTCGGCTCTGGGTCTCCGGCCAGCCAGACGTGGTGGAATTTAGACTCCCTGCGCCTGCAGGCACCCGCGAAGATATCGGGCCCTCAGGAGCTCTCTTCTCTCATACAGTCAGTCGTTGGACAGGTGAGCTACCTGCTTTGGTTGACCGTTTGATCCGTCATATAGGGCTACACTGTTTTTGTTGTACGTGGCGATGCACCCTTACCACAGCCCTCGAAGACTGCGAACTCTAGTGGTAGTAGTAGTAGTAGTATCGAGGTTGGAGCATTACTTTGTTCCTAACGGCTATTCAGGTATGATGACGCTATCGTCGAACAATGGTATGAAGGGAATGTATCTCACCGAGAGGGAGGCGGCAGAGCTGGCGGCAAGGGCCAAGACTGCGGGGACCAGCATTGGTAGTATGTCGGGACGGGAGGTTGCCCCTCTTTGCTAGGGGCCTATGGTTTGTTACAGCACAGACTTGAGAGCTAGCTAATACTGTTGGGAGAAGCGATGTTTTCGCTGAGCGAAATTTGCTCGGTCTGCTGCAGGACAGAAGCCATCCGAGTTGGGGATTTCACATATGTCCTTTCAGGAGGGGGCAGCGGTGCGGGGGACAGTAACGGAGGACCAAACGCTTTTACTATGATAGCCCCGAGTGGCGTCCGGAACAACGAACAGCCCCAGAAGGTAGACTAATATCGGCACTCTTGGGTACATCTCTCGTCGCAGACTGACTGGAGTGCCCTTGGGTCGGGTCGGTCCCTTGGCACCTCTACGGGAAGTAGTGGACCCTCTCCCCAGCCCAAGAATGATGACCCTGAGCTGGCCGCGGCTCTTGCCGCTAGCCTTAATGACGTACTAACTCCGCATTTCTTTTTCGTGTTGGTGACTTTATTCTGAGCAGATCGCCATCCCAAACCCCGGTGACGAGCCAGCAGCAGGGCCTCGAGTAACGACAGTGCAGGTCCGGCTGCCTAACGGCAAGCGATGGACCAGACGATTCAGCTTGGACACAAATACCCTGGGGTAGTCATCTGTATAGCTACCACCTCTTTAAATGGAGCTTCCTGAACTTCATATCGAAAATTCGTTTGAAATTGAAGTTGCCCGACATGAGATTCAAATTGAAGTTCCATTATTCTAACTTGTGATGAGAAAGGTGTAGAGGACTCCTGGCGTCGTCGTTGTTGAGAGAGTCCGATTCGTAGGGACCTGTTCCTTTGGATGGAGTGGCAGTCTCTAGAGGATGGCAAGACCACTACTGCTGCTTCTGGCGGGCAGATGCCTCTCCTTACCTCGCTTGCTGGGTACGACGTCCTAAAACAAGTAAGCATTCGCTGTGTTTTTACGAGGGATTCTCTTATTGCCAGGGATTCGGCCCCTTCCGGCGTAAATTTCATCGGGTTCCGGCTACCCAGAAAGTCACTGTGAGTGGACAGGCCGCCGAAATGGAGTGCACGCAACTGGGCGACGTAGGCCGGACTAGGGTTGTTGAAGCATTTTTATAACAGCTATTCAGGCCGGTTTCGAGGCTGGGCAGGAAGCAGTCATTTTACAGTTGTGAAGATCATTGCATTATCAGTATTACAGCGTTTTGTGGAGTCTCGATGATGCTCTTCCCGCGTTGTAGTAGCGAGTTTGTGTAGGATGATGATTTTCCTGGTAGTCGATCACTTGGTTCGTTTGAATGTTCCCTGCATGTTTAAGAAGCTCTTCGGCTCGTCATCCAGCAAGAAGAAGAAGCGACAGGAAAGTTCTCCCGCCCCCGCGCCACTAACTTTGAAAAAGCCGAGATTGGCCCCCAAAACCCCTGACGGGGCGGCTCAGGGAGAGCCCTCCTCGGCATACTTGGAAAAGGTATCGCACAGTTGGCGCATATGGTATAAGTTTGACTTTGTGTTCAGAAGAAGAGCAAGCAGGCTTGTGCGACCTGTGGATCGACTGAGTTCCGAGAGTCTGCCGATTGGGGTTATCTCATATGCGCGGTTTGTGGGGAGGCCTCATCACAGCGGATAGAAGAGCAGGAGTTTGACGAGACGGAGCAGAGGGGTGTTATAAGAAGGATGAACATCAGTAGGTGCATCTGGGCGCTTGCATTGAAATAGTTTTTCAAGGTAATATGACTAAGAAGGACCCGAACGCGAAACGGCTGAAGAGGGAGCCGTCCGGTGTCGTGCGTGGGAGGACTGTGGAGCTGCGGAGCCAGGAGGAACTCGTCTATTGCTTCCAACTCTGTTTAAGACGGGTAGCCCAAGAGGTAGTATTAGGGAAGGGCAGGGTGACGCAGGACCGGACGTTTCTTTGGAAGGTTTGTGACATCATGGAGTTAGCAAAGCCAGCTCGGAAGAGAGTGATGGACAACACTAGAGATGCATGGCGGGAGTATCTGGAACTGGCGGCTACTGATCGCGTTGGGGGCGGCCCTAGAGGGGCCATCAGCAAGGTCTTCTACGACCGGCATATCAACTCGAGGGCTTACGGTAGTCGTTTCTTCGAGCCGGTCTCTACCACTGCTTCTAACAAGAGGATGGGCATGGTCGTGACGAAGTTCGAGGAGAGGAATCCTGAAGGTGTGACACGACTGGTGATGAGCGCTAATGCTCGGGGCCTCATACGGGCTTTGGAGGCGCGGAAGCTCCAGGCGCCGCCAGAGGCGATGACGACACGTAGAGGAAGGGCAGTTCAGCTGGAAGAAGGGGAGATGGCCGATTTGCTGTATGAACATGACTGGCTCGCAATGAGGTGGAAACGACCTACGGACGAGGCGCTCCCTTCGGCTCTGCTTGACAGGAGTGGTCGGTTGAAGGACACTGATTATGAAGGGCGAAGGTTCGCTGTCCATTTGAAGTTCAAAAAGGAGAGGGAGAAGGCTGAGAAGAAATGGGCCCTGGAGGAGGACCTTAAGCTGGCCATCGAGGCGGATCTTGGACACTCTATTGAGTCCTCTTCTACTGGTGCTGAGGCTACACCGTCTCCTGAGGTCGACACTGCGGCTTCCTTGACGAGTGAGGAAAGTTCAGAGGAGGACATGCCTCTTGCTGTTTTTCAAACGCTCTCTGTGGGGGACCACAGCTCGGAAGAAGGCAGTGCTACGACGGAGGAAGACGTAGCACAAGTGGCGGTCACGGCGCCTGATAGTACCCCGGAAATGGTATCGACTGGTATGACCCCTTCTACTCCTGAGATTGACTTTGATGACCCTGCGGGTTTAAACGAGTCTGCGGCAGGGCTCATTCTACCCGCTATGGACTTCGCCCTCTTGCTTTCTCTGGTCCTGCTCGCTCTCCGTCGAGCACATGTCGGTGTAGTGAGTGGGAAGATGATTGAGTGGATACTCACTGGTGCTGTAGACTACAACCGTCTGCACGTACTCCTTCCTCCTGAATTGAACCCGATGAACTTCCACCCAGAAATTGAAGGCAGCTCATCCGTTCTGCGGCCTCGTTACTTACCCTGTAGCTATCAGCTGGATATGATACTCTTGAGCCTTCGTGACCGATTCAACATGGCGGTGAGTAGCCGGTGATGGTCATTGTGGTTTCTCGACAGGTTTTTTCTCAGGTCCCGCCCCTTCCTCTCGACCGTCTTATCATAAACACACTCGAAGCAATAGGCTTTTCAGAGTGTATCGAGCTCGCCCTCAAGCTTCTGGACTGGCTGGTTGATCCTGCGTGCCCTCTACACGAAGTGGAGTACTTCCCCAGCTACCCTTTCGGCTACCTTTACAGTATGTCCAACAAGGCTGAGGACGTCTTGCGGCCGGAGGAGACGGAGCCTCTGGATCCTCCCATACATGGTGTCTGCTCTCCAACCCTCACTTGCGCGGCGCTCGTTGTCATCGCGGTGAAATTGTCAGTACCAGGGCTCTATGATGACGGTCCTGATGTACTCCCGAAGACGTACCAACTGAGTCTGAATTGCGTTCGGTGGTGGAACAACTTCACCTCCGAGGAGCGTATGGACTTCCTAGCATACTGCCAGGAGGAGCTCTTTAGTGACTATAGGCCGTGCCTTGCCCCCGAGCTGCAGGAACGCCTCAGGCCGCAGTGGCCATACCATCCATTGAAGTGCCAACGAGGGACACGACCCGCTTTGCAAGTCTCGGAGTCTCCTCCCTCCCAGTATCGAACATTCTACCGCTCGCGGGGGGCCTGTCGTATAGATTTCGATAATGGGCAAATGCCGCCAGTGTATGCCTGGCTTCTTGACTCAGTGTGTTCTGTACTTCATACTGATAGTGATGATTTGGATCGAGAAATATCAAGTCTTGAAGACTGGCTCTTCAAGCGGGAGGCCCCTGCACGGCAAAAGGGTGATGGCTGACCTAAGTGCTTGTCTGCTCTGTAGCACTTCTACATTCTTCTACAACGTCAATTCTACGTACATAACTATAAGTGTGTATTATTGTGTCATCCTTACGCTACAAATTCATATGTTTGCGTTCGAGTAGTCACGAGCACAGCAAAACAGCGAGAGACCCCGTGCGGTTCATTACCACGAGTATCGACATAACTTACTTCGTACCTACAGGGAGCTCCGAATAAAATGTACTATTGCCTGTCACTTGCAGAATTCAACGAATTTGCTAGTGAGAGATAGCCCATTGGAAAGATCGTGGGTAGCGTTTTTTTGCACGGAATTCGAGCAATTTTGCGTAACTTGATTGTACGTAGCTCAGCCAAGTCATATTAGGAATTCAAAGATACCATTGAAGATCTTTCTAATGAGCTATCTCTCACTGGGAAAGTCTTTGAGTTCTGCAAGTTATAGACAATAGCACATTATATTTAGAGCACCCTGTAGAGGCTGAGGGTGTTGCACTTTCCTTGTTTATAAACCCGAAGAGGGAAATTTTGGCCAAAGGGTGAGGAATGAGCTCATCTCCAGTATTCTGCAAACCCAACCTTGTACAGCCCATGAATGCTGCTACATATGGGGTTCATTGCTCGTCACGACAGCTGGAGGACTGTGTGCACTATACGACAGTATGTGTGACTGTTACCTCAATGCGATGCTGGGTATTATCAGCATGAGGAACCCGCAGCCACAGGGCATATTACTCGACTTGTTGCAACACAGAACACAGGGAAACACATGAAACTGGTATCTTCAGGAATCAACTTGCACAGCTCTTTAACAATTTTTCTCGTCGATCGACGATCTTCAGCCTTTTCTCGTCGCAGTTCCCTCTGAAGTCGTTGTACCTCCACCGAAGGGTTTTCCATGTTATCTAGGTCGTGATGGGCCGCGGCATACTAACGGGAATACCCCATCGGGAAACTTGACATTTTCATATGAGCCTACCTTAGATCGCCGTGCTTGAGCCTTTGCCCTCCAGAAGAGTGCTTTGTCCCGCATGCCCGTGGCTAGCTCGCTGGCACCACTCTGAAGTACAGCCCAAGCAGTGGCAATGTAGATGCATCTCGTTAAAAGGGCTATAGCTCCCTAATGAGAATACTGCGAGACCAGCGTAGGAGTATTTACATTACTGAGACTTCAGTGGGGCTAAGCCGCCTCCGACCAAGACAGGCCCGTGCCGCGTTGAGCATCATCGCGCACTGGGCTTGCGTAAGAGCCTCATTCTCAGGCGAGAACATCAACAATTTGCTCGAGTCCTCAACGGTGACTATGGCGCCTCCTCCTAATTCCGTTGCCGAACAGGTCTTCTCGTCTATACGAAGCTTTTCTTCCAGTAGTGGACTGGCGTGCTCCCGTTGAGATACTCGGGCTACTCTAACTTCTCCTTTTGAGGCGTATACGCAATAGCGATCCTCTCTAGCGATACCGAGTCGCCTGATATAAGAGATCCTTTCGGTCACATACCACCCATCCATTACTTTTGTATCTCTTCCAGCCCCCGCTTATACCATTCTGCCGCCGCTTTGAAGTCCTTTAATTTAAACAGGCGGTTGGCCCAGCCTTTAACCGTCTCAGCCATGGTGGCGATATCGCAGTTGTCCAGATCATCAAAAGCCGCAGTGTTTTCTTCGAAGTCTTCAAGAGGCCGCACCGAACTCAACGGAATGTTGTTAACTTCAGTATCATCATCAAGTATGATATCGCAATCTCCATCGTCAACCCACGCTACTATTCCGCGGCGTTGTTCACCAGAATCGAGATCGACCACACACCGAACGTGGGCTCCTACTTCGAGGAACTCAGCCATTAATGTAGCAAGTCAAACTGAAATTCCATAAATTGCCCGTTACGACTCGACAGTGGAGGTTGAAACCGAGACACGAAGTATTTCAAGGATCGTCATAAATCCTTATTCATTCAAGCTTGTACCTGCCCACAGCTCTGGAGGTCACCGATGGGCTGTTGATACTACTACCATCTCCTGGTCTTCACCAGCATCAATCGGTACGAAATCACCGTCCTTCAGAACAGACTTAGTCACGCTAGTCACTACCGGGGTCGTTCCAATGGGGAACTTATAGCCGGCAGGATTACGGAACGTCCTGGAGAAGCAAAGCATTCATAAGGCCCAACCGTGAGCCCTGGTGTGACCTTGGGGTCGGCCGAGCTGCCGGTCTGATGTGCTTCGGGCTGTTATCCTTGGTGATGATGACACAATCGACGTTACCACCAGAGCCAAGATCATTCATGACTCCGGCCGTGATCGCCTTCTTCACGAGTTCAACACCCTCCTCGACCGTCATATTGTCCTTGTATCTGCATAAGACCACGCGTAAGTAGCGCCCAGAGTGAACCCTTAATACCCCGTCTCGAGAACAGACATAGCCGCCAAGCTACCACTGCCCATGGCAGCGAAGGGAAGGGAGTCTGTGGACCTGATGAACCAAATGGTATTATAAAACATGCGACAACAGTAGTATCACCCATGAGGATAAATCTGGTAGAGTTGAGGACCCTTCACATCAACACCGCCGAGAACCTGCATGAAAGCATGCCGACCGGTCCGGGAGAGACGAGATAGCCCACCAATGCACAGCCGACATACCCTTGGTATTGGAAGAGGTAGTCAGACAACCGCTTCACACAAGTCCCAACTCGAGGCTAACAACGGAGGGGTAGTACTCAGTGAGGGAAGGCAACAAGACTACCTGGGCCTCAGTGGCCAGCCTATGGAGCTCCATCTGACTTCTGATTTTCTTCGTAGTATGTTCCAGGTCAGCAGCAGTACCAGCACCAGCTGGAAGAGGACCACCACGTTTGATCGAATTAGTGGAACAGATTATTACCGCAGTAGATGTTCTCGGCCATGTAATGCAGCTTGTTGCAGTTCTTATCGGCCACGATAGGGCCAGTGGTGGCTCTGGTATCAGCCCCGAGGACGACACAAGAGGCACATACAACTCCACAGATAGTGGTACCTGCCATACTGGCACTACCGCCAAGCCAAATCGGGGCTCGGCCTACCGGTCTTCATAGTGGTAAAGGGACGCACCACACCGTTTGCGACCATTTGCTTGTTGCGCTTTACCTGAGGGGATTTGAGTGGCACCAGTGAGACTACGCAACGTCTACGTTGTCGAAGCTGAAGCCTCCGCGGTTTTCAGAGAGAGCGGAGACATACTGCGAAGAAGCCGAGTCCATTGCCTGTTGAAATGTGACACAAAAAACCCTAGGAAGTGGGCCACAGCGATAGAGCTGATGAAGACACTGAACTCAATAGGGTGTCCGAAGAAACAGCTATTCTCGGGGATCGTCCTTAATGCAGTGAAAGACATGGCAAACTTCATCCGAGTGATCTTGCATTGCCATCTGCAGTCCACAGTTACTGCAATAGACCTGCTATGCACGATGCAAAGGGTTGTTGGTATGTAGTTGTCCTTATACGACCTGACCTTGCCCTGACCCACTCGACAGTTCCGACTCTCCACGGCTCGGTGACAAATAGAGGTATTGGGATTGCATACTACCGAGTATGTTCCTGGCAGACATACCATAACTGTGTGAAGCACCGATGACAGGAAAAACGGCATCTGAGTGCGTCACTCTCCATCGTCTAGGATTGCCCTGCTGTTGGTAGTCGTGAATTCACCGATATAGGACTGTGAAGAAGTTTAGGCAGTTGAAAAAGGCCGACCGTAACACTCTTCATCCTGGTCGTCCATATAAGGATCGTATAGGTCGTGTTTCAGAGGATTCTCTGCGAACTTATTTTCCTGTTTTTCTATCAGATTGCTCGCTCGCTTCCTCGTGGGGCTCATCCTGCTACGTTAAGTTATGTGCATCCTGATTGGCTGCCTCCCGTATCCGAGAAAGCCCACGAATAATGCATGGTTTTCATTCTGGTCCCCTTTCGTTCAAGCCCACAAAGTCCTTATGTATGCCATTCAACGAGCCGCCCTGGGCTCGACACACTATCTATCTACCATAACCATTACTCAGTCGCGCTTTCTCCTCACCTACGATTCTTTCCCCTTCAGTGACCAAGAAGTCCGAGCCTCGGACTCCGAGGTCGAACAAAAAAAGCTTGCGGGCTCCCAATCACTGGAATCCCCCATTAACCGCGCTCGAAGGGATCTGAGCCGTCAACTCAATCGATTATGGTGGCGCGCGCTGGAAAAATCTAAAGCTCACAGGAAGGAAGCCCCTCTTCTATCTATTTACTGGGGAATGCTGTTAAATAGGGTCGGCATTCGGGTCGATAAGAATACAATATAAGTACACGATGAAGGGAGAGGTGAGCACTCTGATGAGGTCGTCATTGCAAGGAAGGATTAGGGGTTACAGACGGTGTTGATTGTAGCAGTAGTTGCCAGTCCGTAGTAACATGTCCCGTGTTGAGGAGATCCCCGCTAAAGAGGTCGAGGAGGGTGTCGTCGAATCCGACACTGATACCGACGATGAGATGCCCACCTTGGAGGCCACCAACGGTGAGGTCCCTGAGGGTGGTGCCATGCCCGAGATGCATGCCAAGCTCAACCGTGCCGAGAAGAAGGCGCGCAGGGCCATGCAGAAGCTGGGCATGAAGGCTGTCCCCGATGTCGTCAGGGTTACCTGCAGGAAGGGCAAGAACGTAAGCCTGTTGCTGTCAACCTTGTTGGCATACTTTGTATCTTTTCAGATGCTCTTCGTCATCTCCGAGCCTGATGTCATGAAGGCCCCTCATGCCGACACTTACGTTGTGTTCGGCGAGGCCCGAATTGAGGACATGTCCGCCGCCTCTCAGGCCGCTGCCGCTTCCCAGTTCACCTCTACTCCTGAGGTCTCTAAGGTCGAGTCCACTGAGGCCACTGAGACTACTGCTGCCGCCGAGCCCGAGGAGGACGAGGGTGAGGTCGATGAGACCGGTGTTGAGGCCAAGGACATTGAGCTTGTCATGAGCCAAGTGAACTGCTCAAGGGGCAAGGCTGTGAAGGCACTCAAGGCCGCCAACAATGATATCGTCGAGGCCATCATGCAGCTCTCGCCTTAGACGGAGTGCTTAGCTTTACTCCATTGGCAACAGCAGCAGTTATACAGTTTCTACCGCAGCCAAGATGGTTTAGATGCTTTTGAGTTGTTGAGTAACGTCAACTTGTCATATTGTTCGTGGTTGTTGGCCTTGTCGGTGGAGGGTTGATGAACCTACTGGGTAATTATTCTACAATATCAGAACTCGATTGCAAAGGAAAGTTATGATCCTCGAGCTAGATAGTAGGGTTATTTTCTCGACCCAGGGAGAAGTCACAACGCGACTTTTCTCCCGAGGCTCGTCGAAAGGTCACCGAGTGTTTTAAGATGCCTTCTTACTCACCACAGGTCTTGGCTGCTGTCACTCGTAGGTGTCTTTATCATCCGTGTCCGGTCTCTCGCCTTGTATGGAAAAAGAGACCTATGAGGCTGGAGTACCGAGAGGCTGTTCGAATGCCTTATACGGGAGATGGAGTCGCCCTTCGTCCTCAGTGATGAGCGAGTACACTTTCGGACTATCACATCGAAGACCTTCACCATCGCCAAGAGATGCTTCGTATTCACTTTCTCGTCGAGAGGCTGAAGGCTGTTCACGGCAGCGTTGGTGCCTAGGGAACCGGTTCTAGTTCCTTGGCTTTTAGACTGCTGTACTCATCAGACTTGATAGAGCTTCCTTGGGTAATAAAACTTCACTGCGCCCAGGTTTTTCTTGGAGCTCACAGCGAATGTGGTTCTGCTGATTTTGGGTGAGGGCTGCGTATCAGGAAGCCGACGCTAGGATATCATGGATAGGAATGATGAGTGAGTATCCCAGCATGGCAGGGAAGCTGTGCTGGCATGAATAGTCCATGACAATCCCATAGTTCTTGTGGTCGTGGGGATTGGATAACCAGTATGTGCTTTGGCCCTCCTTGCCGATGAACTCTTCATTTTGTGTCTGATACGGCATTTTGAGGAACACCATCACGTTGATGGCATCAACGAACGAGGGGTCGAATATTTCGCTTCCATTGGAGTCTTCCTCGACATTGTATTATCTGTCATCTCAGTGAACTGTGGGCTCTTGGTTGAAGCCTCTTCTTCCGAGGCTGATGAGGATCGCGATCCCGCTCTCATTCAACCCGTGTTCAAGCTTACCCGCATGGCTGTCCAGAGGCTGTTATGAGAATCCTCATCACAAAACCTGGCAGCATGCTCGCGGGTCCGCATTCCTCGTGTGTTATCACCGCCGGGAAAGAAGACGACTGGCGGACGAAGACGATCCACCTTGGTCTCGAAGTATTATAGCATTCGATGCTTGAGATTGTGGACTGTACACCGGTTATCAGATTCGTATGGTAGATAGGCGAAAGCCCAAAGGGTGTTGAAAATGGCCTGTTCCAGAGCCTTCACTCGGCTTTTGGTTCGAGAAGATGTTCGCCGTATTTTGCGGCTGGTCCGGGCTACGGGGTAAGGGAGGCGGGTATGCTTGGGATCGAAATGAACTGAGGTGAGTCGGAACGCGACTTTAATCTGTTTTGTGTAAGCGAATTGCCCAGAAGTTGAGACTCATTCGTCCCGAGAAGGTGTTACGGCTAAGGGAATATGAGCAAATCCGACTACTATCATACTAAAATATCAGCACAATGTGCTGCAGAAAGGGATGAGCTATCCATTCCTCATCAAAATTAGAGATGATTTGCCATCAACGCTACACCGTAAGCACTGTCTGTATAACTGGTAGAAAATTTGAGCCAGAGATGTCCGGAAAAAGTCGGAGATGTCTGAGACTCGAGTGTGCATGAGAAAATCACAGAGACACTCTCGAGAAAGATTGAAGTTGACCTACTGAGGAAAATAAAAGGTGATAAATGTATAGTATACATCGATCAAATTGCCGATCTGGATTTTTCCGGGATTTCCGGATCTATGACATATACTTTCTGCTCGAGACCGGTTTTCTTCACTGCCATCTTGATCAATCCGTGATCACCCCATTCCTCATTCCACGAATTCATTGCCAACCAATATTCTTGCCCGGACTCTACTCCCCAGCCAATAATCTTGAGAGTATGAGAGCCAACAAGATCGCCGGTCGTGTGTACGTAGACACCGGATTTGTAAAGTCCGAAATCCTTGTACATGTCGAAAGCGCAAAAGACCTGAGATAAGGAGGTAATCTGGGATTCCATGAGCCCACAGGCGCGCCATGATAACGCTTTAACCGTAATAGCTTGCTATGCTAAAACTTTGATGTGACAATCCAGAGAAACTCCCGCCTCCAATAGTCTCACCACCACCGAGACTTGGTGACCAAGTCAATTCAGGCTAACATTTGTGAGTCATGCCAATAAGAGGAACTTATGCAGAGCTTGCAATGCAAGCTGGAGAGGCCTCATTCAGGATCACATGGTCCAAGAAGCTTACCGGCCCGTGTTCGAATATCTCTTGCTTGATCTGCTGGACAGCGGGGTCTAGGCGCTCCCATCTCCTAGCAGTGTGAATATCCCTGACACCAATCACATTTGGAAACCCCGCCTGATCTTCCCCCACTCTTTCAGGCTGTTCTTTTTGTATTTTCCATTGGTGCAGACTGATTGACATGGAGGGGTGGGTGGAATATCCTATGGCCGAGGGGTCCACTGTACGAGATGCTGTGGCAGGCTCACATCTGGGCATTCCGGATATTTGCTTGCTTGTGACGGTGAATGGTTGCACATCTCGAACGAATACGGCCAGCAGCCATCAGCCTCGGTCAGATCCTTCGACGGCTTATAATCACTACCTGGGGAAATACGAGTGCTGCCTCATCTGAATAGGCTATTCAGGATGAAGTTGGTAATCCTCAACTTGTAAGCTGAGGGGTCTCACCCGTCACGGTGCCATAATCCAACAGAAAAATCATTGCTTCATCCAAGCTACCCTTCGTGCAGCCGGCCGAGCTGAATACGAAACACACCTTGACTTTTATCCACCATGGGAAATCCACCATCATGGCCGCATGGTTGCTACCTTGCACACCTATGTTCCGTATTGCAGCATGAAGTGACATAACCAATGGATAAGCTCTCTTTGGATTTGCCATTGGACTCGATGCACAGACGATCATTTAATACTTCGACGGGAGCAGCTGCCCAGCAATTGCCACAGTAACTCTGATCTCTGAGCAATACATCTCGATTGCAGAGTAACGATAACAGCAACTATGATGACTACCTCACGTGGCCAATGACACTGGTACAACTTCGGAACTTAACCCGAGCGTCGAAGTCTGGTGGCAAATTCGTTAACAATGGACTGCTGCGTCTGGGAGGGCCAACGTCGCCGTCAGGGCTGTCAGGGGCTGACCAACTCCGGAGATCTCCGACCGTCACACCTGTCGAGAGGTAGCGCTTGAGAACTAGACAAAGATTGTTGAGCTAACGTTGCGGGTGCCCGAAATATTAGATTTGCAACGGGCGGCTTTCTCAAGTACGCGGAACCAAGTTTCGAACTCGCCACTCAAAGAGAGTTGACTGGGAGCTCAAGTCTATGACTTACCTCTAATACGTGGCTGGTCTGTGGAGGCGATCCACGAGTTCTGCATTGAGTTGATAGCATCGACCATGGATTGCAATAACGTGGGCTTGGTACTGTTTGCGAGTTTGGTCGAGTGCTCAAATGACGCGCCTTTCTCTGGTAGCTCCACCTCAATCTGATCTTCAGGACGGTAGGAATGTTCTGAGTCTTCATCTGAAGCATAGACGGATCCTAAAGTTAGGGAAGCAGCTTTGAAACGAGAAGACGTGGGACGTGCTCACCACTGTGTTTCGAGATTTCATCAGAGATGCCTTGGCGGTTCGAGTAGTCACCTCGAATTTCGGAGACTGATGAGCACAGCGAGATGAGTAAGATGAGTCCACTCATATTGTAAGGAGTGTGAAACCGAAACTGAAGGCAAGGAGCGATAAAAACTGGCGATGTCATCACCTGCCGTCGATAACATAGATTTTCTAGTCAAATCATTTGTCCTCCTGCGTCTCTGGTCTTTACCGGAGAACAAGATTATCAATGTAGCACGTAGGGTTCACGGAATACGGATTCCAATCCGCTGTACACGTGCTAGAACGTGATACACTCAACGTGTAGGACTTAGGAAGGTTCCGATGAAATCACTTCGCACTGTGAAATTCACAGAGAGTTTTTGCCAGTTACAGAAGTTGCCCTACATCTGCGCCTTTTTACTGGTAACGCGTTAAGTTTCGAGACGGAGACCATACATGCCTTCTACGTAGCCTCATGCAGACTCGTAGTGACTCATGACGGACACGTGAGGTTCACCGTGGACCGTTGACCGTCCACGGCGTGAACCTCAACGCTAACGGAGTTCACGCGTCCTGGTTTGAAACGAGGACGCGTGAACTTGACGCGAACGAGTCGTTTCCGTCACCCAATCAGGGGCACCACTTGGTTGGTCAAGGGCACCTGAGTGGTGGAATAGCCAGCAAAATCAATGTTAGGGTGAATCAATCTGAGATTTAATGAAATATCTGGAACTTCACAGATCCCATGAGACCGATAAAATTTTGCACTATGTTGTGATCGCATGGGATTTCACGGAGTTCGTGAAATCTAACAAATTTTCACGAAAGTTTCGTGGAAGTCGCATGAGTAGATTTGAATAAAATCTTTTCAGGAGCTAAATTCCGAGGACTTAGAGCTAAAATTGGCATGCCCAACACAGCATTCAATCACCTTGAAGAGCGCAGAAATGCGGAGCAAACTCATGACTGTCATGACATGACATAACATTGAGCCACAAAGCTTCGGAGGACAATCTCCCGAGGATTTGCTGGTTCTATAACCATGAGTTCCCAATGGCGTGTGGATCAGAATGGCCATACTTGACCAGGTAGATTAGGGTCAAACATGAGCAAGCATTGACCACGAGTCAGCGCACGATACTCATTGCAACCCTATTGCAGTCGATCCCAAAGCGCATGAATCAGAATGGTATCTTCGCCCGGGTATCACGGGATCAAGCGATCTGGTAATAGGTGGAAGCTTTTCGTGAGCAAATCCGTGGATTTGCGGGGGTATGTCCAGCAATTCCAGTGGAATTGCGGACGGAAGCTCTATCCGACCCACTTGGTCGAAGCAATCAGGGAAGCGCAAGTATCGGCTCTCGAATCACATGCGAATGGTTGTGGATGGCTTGAAGGTACTCCATTGGATGACTCATGCGAGCTACTAATGTATGTTGCTATAGAGTTTACAGAGCGCTGTCCATATCTATCTGGATTTCGATATACACGAGTGTTTCAAGGACTCATTACCTATTGACGTCTCCGAGCCAGCTGAGGCTGTAAGCTCTATCACCAGAAGTTCTGGTCCAGAACGGTTGGCGGGTTTCGAGAATTAAGCAATAGATATATCAGTTTATCCAGAACCCATATACTAGTACTTAATTCGAGGCACTTCCTTCAACTACCGCGACACCGAAATCCTTGAATGAAAAGATACTGATATAAGATTTTGGTGACCAAAACCTATTGGTACAAACCAGGGTTTTATCCAAGATCGCCGATCACAAGCACGTGCGGTAGCAATCAAAAAATGACGCGCACTCACACTGAGTATCGTCGCTTGATGGCTTCTTGACCATCCCTCGAAATCTCATGAAAATTCCCTCTCCAAAACTCCTTTTGGCAACGAGACAGTGTATCGACATGAAATTTGATAATAAGTACGGAAATTGGGACGAAGAGAGTAATGTCAGGATTATTCATACCAAATGTATAGATAGCTCACCATTGTGGTGAAAATGAGAGGACTTCTTGGACGGTGCTCGGCTTCCTTGTATATCTGGGACCGTTGACGCAGACCGTTCCTCAATTGCTTACATACAGTAATTCAATTATGATAATTAGAGTTTGTTACTACCGACTTATTTTTTGCAAGTTATTGACGGATGAATGACGTCTTGATATGAGCACATTTGTTTGTTGTTTTGGCATGTATGTTGTTGTTTAGACTTTTCTGAACGTTCCCATGTTTCAACTGTCACTCAAAGCAGCATTCTTCTGAGAGAAAGAATAACATCAAGGGCTTGATGATCCGGACATCGAGGATGTCAGCAGAGGATGTCTTCAGAGGATGACATCCACAGGGTGTCTCTGAAACTGCCCTCTCGTCGGGGGCATCATCAAGGACTGGCTCAACACCAGCACCATCATCGTGGGAGCCTGTGAGCTGATGAATCCCTGGCGAGGACGATGGAAGTCACGCGATCGGGAGAGCTCAGGGTGCGGATCCGCACTGCAGATTATCCTCGAGGATTCTGCCGATCACCGTAGAGCAGATCACTCGCCTAGACCGTCTAGGCGAGGATAGAGTGGATTCAAACGCTAACATAGCTTCAAGTCTAGGCTACACTCGAAATCATGTTGGCGCATCCTTTCTGAGGACGCAGTGAGGGAATAATCCACATTAGTGAGTCTTTGTTGTCACGCAAGCTAAAGGATACAAGTAATCCGCAACTCCATGGTACGCGGCTCATACTACGAGCAAACCTATGTATGAACGCCAAAGTCGGTACTACCGATTCAATAACATAGCCTCTATAACAGATGCCAGTGAAACGCAGTGAAAAGGGTACGGCTGGGAGGACTTCTGTGCGTAGCTGCCTCGCCCCCCTAACCAATCCTGGTCGGACGTGAGCATATTGCGAGATAAGGGATGTTTACGATCTGTAAATTACAGATCGACTAGCCTGGTGCGGAGGATAAACCCGAACCACACACATGAGCGAAGGGAACTCGACATCCCACCCAATCCCGGAAAGGAACCCAGGGAGAGAGCACGGCCAGCGCTGAGAAATTGACAGCAGACGTCTTGACGAGAGGAGAAGTTACCCAAGGGAAGAAAATGTTGACGAGCGGAAGCATATACCAGCCTCGGTAATGGAATGGTCTGATTTTCGGGCGAGCGCGAGTTTTTGTGCGCGGATCGGGAGCGCCAGGATCGCCGAAACATAAAACATTGGACGGCATGAGAAAATTGGTTCGCGCTTGTATTTTTCTCGGGAGTATTTGGGAACCGCAATTTGTCCATGGGGCACAGCCGACCCGCGGGAGGTAGGCAGTGCTTCCAGCTCGATGCCCACCGACGAAAGACGGAATCACCTGTTGGAGATGGTGGACGAAGTGAGGCGCTGGTAATAGCAGTGAACAACCGGTGGTGAGGTGCCAGGTTATAACATTGGGTATGCGGGATGCGAAGGATCTGGCGGAATCCATGTAGAATCTGAATGTAGTCCGTGAGCTTTCCTTACGACTTGCACGATCCGTGGTCAGCAGCTCTTTCCCCACCCCATTCACATGTTCTCATGCTTGGCCGCCCCCGTTAGACCTGACATGCATCGGGCACATGCTCGGGTAAGTGTTGCACTGCCATGAGCCTGCTGGCCATCTTATTACTCCTTAGTGCTCCCGATAGGGCTTCCCCAGCCGCAAAAGCATCTACTACTGCTAGTCTCGTGGCATTGGAGTTCACCAGCTACGAGGATGGCGAAAATGTTGCCGTCAAAAAGGTAGGCCTCTTTGCCTGATAGTGTTGCATCTGATTCGGTATAGTAGGCTCGAGCTTGTTGGCCTAGGTTTGAAAGTACCTAAAACATCATGGCAGATCTTCCCGAAATGAGCATGGTTGGAACATGCTCTGACACGTTACGCGTACGTACTGAGGTGAGGCCTAGACAAAAGGCCGTCATGAAAGGTAATGCACAACTTGTAGTTCGTGAAGTTGTCCCCCCTAGCATACTGGCCTCCGTCACGGCACACTCATGTTTTGTGTAAAACGTTCCGAGTTATCTCGTTAACGATCCTGTAGAGTTGGGGCCGTATGGGTGGCATGGGAGACGTATCCACAGTGTTGGTATGACATACTTCTCTAACCCGGCTGGACAGCCGCCCCCACCTCCGGACCTACCGTCGGCTCTTTCCATTGGACCAACGATTACTGTCGAGTACGGCTATCGCCGCCAACACCAGCAATGGTCTCGGGTACGGTCAGCCCCGCGTACTCTGAATGCTATTCCAATTTCAGCCGCAGCCAGCTGGGTCAATAGGCTCGACGGTTCCTCGAGCCGTGGACTCTACAGAGATGTCTCCGATCAGTGTGGCTTCGGCCCCCAGCCCCCACGATAGTGAGGGTAGTTACAGCTCCGTCACGGTCAAGTTCAGCCTCAGCCAGGTGATGTCGCATTCGGTGTGCGTGATAGCGGATCCGGTCAACACGTTCTGGGCACTCGCCGTGGCTTGCCAGCTGGGAAAACCTCAAACTCCAAGCGAGGTACGATCGTGAGCTCCAATTTCGATTATGCACTATATCTCTAGGCCGTCGTTCCTCCCCGCTTGAGACGTCCTTCAATGATGAGGAGTGGCGACGGCGCTCGTCGAGTAGCTCGAGCTCCTCTGACGTTGACGATTTGTCTCCGAGGAAAACTGGTCGCCAACGGCACCCATTCCGCGCACTGTTATCTGGGAAATGTGACTCTCGCGAGTTTGACACGAATGAACCCAGACTATTAGAAATGGATGGTCCGCTGTGGTACTGCGGCTGTGTATGTGGTTTTTGGGCATCCCTCTATCAGGGATCTCTGCGGCCGACGTATTATACCTGTGAGCCCTGTATTGCAGCTGACGCCCAGCACTGTTTGCCAAGTGTCCAAGGTCATAGCAGCTGAGAAGCGGTAGTACCGCTGGGCGCGTCGCTCATGAATCGACAGGCCCTAGGTGTATTGGCTTGGACGTGGTGGGAGTTCCGGCACCGAGGCTACCCGATACCACCAGTAAGCGGTCCGTGGTTGACCATCTAGTTATCGCTACCATGCACGGCGTGACCGTCATTGGTCCGACTACCGCCGGCAGTAGCAAGGCCGGTCATGGCATGTGTAGAGACATGCTCGCAGCTCAGCTCATAGGCCATCTCAAAGTATGCCACTCTTTAGAGGCATAGCGTAGTTGCTTCTGCACCTTAGTTATACCGGAACACCGTTCATGTTGTTATCCCCCGCGCCGATACGGTTGATAGGGCCTGCCGCTTCCTCGGCCTCAAGCATGGTGAGTGATAGTCTCCCTACAGAAGCTCATGAAAGATTATCCCAGGGGCTTTGGCGGGTATGATTAACGTAGTGCAGTGGGTGAGGAAGTGGGCAGCGAGTCAAAAGACTCATGGAGCCGCTGTCCTGGCGAAAGCAATCATAGATGTGAGTGTATGGTCGTTAGCCGTCTACGGCTGGAATTTGATCTGTAGGATCTGAAAGCCTCGGGAGGAGGGGAGCTCTCTGTTGAGAGCCTCTGTGGCTTCTTCCTGCCTTACAAGCCGCACTTCACGGGGCCTCCTCGGGAGAATTTGGAGAGGCTCCCGAAGAATGTACGTTCCTACACCATGGCGCATATGGCTTTCTTTACGAGAAAAGTAGTGCCATTCGAATGACGATAGGGGATCCGGTGAGCTTAGGTTTTCCGAATATTCTATGACCGAGCAGCCGACCCAGACTCGGCATGCAGGGCGGATGGCAGCGAAGATACTAGAGAGGCCGACTGCATATCAGTGGGAACTTCTGAGGAGGGCGGTACCGCCCCTCCTGGCGGTGAGAAGTCTCCGATGACTCAGCTCTCTCCGAGGGATATACAAGCGATGGAGGGAGTTGCCCTTGGCATCCGCGAGATGAGGCAGGGTGAAGCTGTGAAGCGGCCGTATGCAAGTTGACGACAACCCGGTGTTTCTCTTTTCATGATCTGCCTTTGGTTCATTCGCCTCTGCCGCTACTGCTATTGTCCTGGTCTTGACCGCTTTCTAGGCCTGGTTCGATGATCTTCGGACTTCCGAGGAGAGGTGGATATTGGATTATCACTCTGAAACAGCACCCCGCCGGCGGTGCTCAGAACGGCCTCAGGAAGTCCGCGAGCTCGTGCCTACGGATTTCGGTGAGCAATAGGGTTTTAAGCCGCAGCAGCCAATACTCCACACGGCTCCCTCGATATAGCCAGGGACGCGGTGTCGAGGGAGAGACCTTCGCAGGGTTCACCCACAGAGCTTAGTTCGGAATAGAGGTTTACTCTGTCGAATTTACCGCTGCTCCTCATCTAATCTCAGAAACACGAATTCGGATGTACATTTTCCCTTGGCGGCTTCGTCTCTGCAGAGTTGGTACCTTTCACTAGTTGCCAAGCTATTTCTCAAGAGCCTATGCGCCGAGTTGTGGGAAGGGTATCAGGGTCTTGGTCACTCTTGTCGCTTCCCGTGATCTGCTGTTATTACTCTTTTTGCAGTGTATCTCTTGGCTAGCAGTACGGTGCCTCCGTGGAGTGATGGCCAACAGTTATGATTACTACGCTGGACAAGGCTACAGCCAGCAGCAAGGACCGAACCAAAGGCCGGGTCAATCTACTAGTAACCGCGGTCATTCGTCCAATACAGTACCCATGCCGCTGCCCCGGTATGCATCAAAGCGATCTTGGGAAACCCCTACGTGGCAGCAGCAGCAACCGCAAGGGCCGGTCTACAACCCCAGCGCCAACGTCCCAACGTGGGCGACTACTAATAGTAGTAGTAATGGTCAAGCATGGTCTCAGCGGGGACGGTATGAGACACGGCCAATAGCCGGTGGTGACACGGATGTGGGAGGCTTCGCGGGTTATGTTGATGCCCCGATGGGCCTCCTAGCACCGCTGCCCTTCCCGCCGCCCACACCAGACGCTGGCTGGCCGCCACCGCTCAGCTCAGTAGGTGTACCCCTTGGCAAACCTCTCCCACCCGATTACCGCCCCCGTAATTACCGAGATCTCGATAATGCAACTACTGAGTCGAACCCGACGGTGGCGATCGCTCGGCCGATATCGCATCCTCTTGAGCAAGCTCAGCAGTCGCCACAGAGAGCTGTGGGAGTTCTGACGATGCTCGATGCTAATAGGGGTCTAATACAGTCCTCGACCACTGGATCCACTAAGGTAGTGTTCCACGTCAGCCAGTGCAGCAACTCCCAGCAGAAACAGGCGGTGAGTGCAGCCACTATGCTTTGAGGTCCATCTCTCGTGTCTTAGCTGTCCGAGCGTCTCAAGCATACTGCAGTAGCGGGGAAGAAGCTGCCCGTCACATTTGCGGTGTCCCAGCTCCCGAACGGGACGTGTGTGGCGAAATCGGTCTCGATCATCGGTGCCAACCCTGACGCGGTGACGAGAAACCCTCAAGTAAGCATTCGGCTGCCCGTCTGACACTCTACTCTTATCTTCTTAGACTGCAACCCAATCGGGTACGCCGGCGGAGGTCCTAGAAAGAGCCAGGAAGGTCCAGGAGGCCGCTGCTGCTGCTGCTCGTGCCTCAGCCAAGACCATGCATTCAGTAGCGAAGCGTTCCAAGGGCCCGTCTCCCAAGGCTAAAGCTAGCCGTAAGAGAAGGAAGAGCCACCCGAAGGTTGGTTCTGTGGCCCGTCCCCCTCCTGCTCGAGTGGACAACCCCTCGAATGCAGCCAAGGCTTCGGGAGTTGCCTCCCCTCGTGGTTCCGCACCAGTGAAGAGATCAGACGCACTTCCTAAGGTGAGTGGGGGACCTCAACCTCTGGCGCTGGTTTATGATGTGGTCCTCAGGCGAAACCAGAACTTAAGAAGCCTCAGCTGCCGGCCCAGCCGCTCGCTCCGAACGATCTTGCCAATCCCAATGTCCCACTGCCCGGCAGTCTCGGCCAAATTGCCATCCCAAGTGGCTTCCCCCCTCCTCCTCCCCCTTCTTCGGGACGTCTGCCTATCCCCGGACCTCCCTTGGCCCAGCAGCCTCCTAAGAGTGGCGTTGCTCCTGAGGCGAAAACCCCGTCCAAGCAGCAAGATGAGCAATCATCGACGGTGGTTCGTGACTGGCGCTCGAAGGCCTCGGCACCTAGTGCTGCCCCAGCGAGTGGTGAAGACTTCGCATATAAGCGGTCGGCTGAACATCCCCTCCGGTTGGTGAGCAACCCTCCGAAACCCAAGTCGCCCCTCAAGGCCCCTCCAAAGTCATCTGGGGCTCCCAAAGACGTCCACAGTGTAGCGGCATCCCGTATTGTGGGAAAAGCTAAGGGAACGAGTAAGTTGGTCGTTACCGACTAGACTATATGGGAGCTCTCTTATCCATAGGTCCATCCTCGTCGTCGGCGCCAAGCAAAGCAGCTCCACCAAAGCTACCGATTGACTCTAGGATGGAGAGGAGCAAAGCCTCGAATAATTTCCATAGTCATGCAAGGTCGATGTCCCGTACGTCGACAGACTCCTCAGCGGTCTCTGCCATCTCAGAGGTTACCCCCACAGGGTAAGGTCTTTACTGTAGAGTATTCTCCAGCAGGGTCAATGGTGTCTCAGAGCGCGCACTCACGAGGAAATCCCCGAGGACGATCTGGACTTCGTGTGCGATAGTGATGCATTCTGCCACGGGGAGATCATTTTTAAAGAAGGCTGGCTGCCCTCGGACCCGTGCGCCTAGCTCGCTGAGAATCGTCCTTCCGTAATTTCTTATTTTTCAGTCCCGCCGTTACGGTTACCCTGCTGGGTAGCACCTGTGAGGACATCTCGCGAGTTATCAGGAGGATCTGTGCTGAAAAATCGTAGGTCTTCTCCCTGTGGTGGCCTTATAGATCAGCGGTAGGTGTGTCTCTCTGGACGTGGTCGATGTCCCAATCGAACGAGGGTATTCCACCCGCGGCTCAGTACTGGCGATTGGCACCCGCCACGGTGTCAGCGTGATCGGATGTGATGGCCCCAATAGTGGGAGGCCCAGAAGTGACAACGAGGAGTGGACAGTTGCGAGGACCGTATTGGCTAATCATCTCTTTGGTCGAGCAGCAGTAGGAAGTACTCGATAGGGGGTATTTGGGGAGTTTGTATTGTCAGAGCCGCTCGTCCACTGTGCCTCTGGTTGTTGATAACTCTAACGGTGCGTCTAGACTCTGTCGTTTCCTGGGAATGCATGATTTGTCTCGAGAGGAGGCTCTGCAGTGTGTGGACATTGTGGATGCAATAAAGAAAATGCTAGTACAGTCTGAAAAGGGAGGGTCGGCGCTACCGCCACACGCTGATGCGCTCATGAAGGAGATCCGCATGGTACCCTCGCGGCCTCCGTCCTAGCGGACACTGCTCTCTATCGATATCAGTTCCATGACGCTCGGTCAATACCCGTGACCCTATCAAGTCTGTGTAAATTCTTCCATCGTTCTTCTTATCGAGTTCAGCTTGGGTCGACTCAACAGACCACTCGGGCGTTTGACCTCGGTCACACTGCCTTCTATACTCGGCGTGTAGGAGTAGTTTTCATTGCTCTATATTATGCATTACCGTTCCCTCAGGTATTCGAGCAGTTCAATGAGAGATTCACCGGGAGATCGGAAACGCGGAAGAGGAAACGGCAGCCAACTAAGGACGATGCTAGGGTACTGCTTACTGTCTTTTCAGTCTGGCCCATGAGGGGTTGCTGGGATCCCTTTCTAGTGGTGAAAACGGTGTGGATAGGAGGCTCCTTATAGGTCTCTTCTCCCAACATCGGCCGTAATAATAGTAGCCCGTCGCAGAGTGTATCTCGGCAACATGGTGGACCCGTCGGAACTTCGGGGGTGTCAGAGCGTGTAAGTAAGGTACAACGTACGGAGGGGAAAGGAACACGCAATGGGTTGAGCGAGGGTGATAGAAAGCTAGTAAAGGATGCTATACTGAGTTTCATCCAAAGAGAGTTACATCGTAGTAAGAACGCCTGGACTTGAATTTCTTGTCACCGTCCGGCTGTCTGAACCGACGTGCCATGTGCGGTGGTAGTAATAGTAACAGTAGTTTTGCTACAGAGACAGTACTGGCAGAGAGGCCTTATGACTATATGTACCATTCTTCCGTCCTTATCTTCAACGTATGCACACTGTTCCTGTCGGAGCAGTCTTTAAACTCACAGTTTTGCGTTGTAGTCTCTCCCGGTAGGGATAACTCGGAAAAGTTAGCGACCTTCTCTATGGCCTCCTCTCTCCCGACTCGGGAAACCTTCGAACACCGGTTTAGAGTGTTGCCTTCATCTGATGATCCTCATCTGGTCCATAGGAAGGCCCTTTGGGATGCTCGGGGATGTGAGGTCTACAGTCGTCCCTACGACGTCACCTTCGTTGATCTCAGGTAAGCTGAGTCTGGACGAGTCCGAGCTCCTGGACATGCCCAATGACACTCTAATCGACTACCTTCGAATACTCTATCTCAATGAGATTGACATCTACTTCCTCTTGAACAACGCCAGCCTTATTCACTCCTCGAAGCCCATAGCCTACGAGAACCCCTGCAATGAGCGGAAGGCCCTGTTCCTTGCCAGGAAGTTGTTGGTGTCCCAGGGTGCCTCAACCCAAAGAGTGGCAAAGCTACAGGGCAAGATTGACTCCTTCTGTCAAGCAGCCAACGATGTCCGTATCTCTAGTGAGGTGGAAGTCTCCCATCCCTATGTGTCCGAGGTAGCGCCCAAGTGCGTGGTAGGGAACCGTTCGTCGGCCTTGGGTGGCGGCGTCGGGCTGTACGCGAAGGACCATGTCTCTGCAGGTATTCCCCTTGAATAGTTGTCCTATATAACCCTATTGCTTTCAGGTGATGATGTCATACGAGTCCCCGAGGGGAATTTGCGGATAATAAACGTCTACGAAGCGGCAGCAGATGCCGAGTTCGGTCCGGTGGTAGAGGGCCTCCTGGCTGCTGGGCATCACATCGATACGTGCCTTCTCATGTAAGTTGGCCTGACCGGAGCATCTCGGATACCACTGGAAGGTATTTGGTTCAAATCTACAAGTCGGGCAAGCTCCGAGCCTTGCCGCCGATCGATTGTTTTGTACACTACCTCCCATCTGAGTTCTCTGGTAACCTCATGGAATGGCCTGTTGAGGCCCTGGACGCTCTAGGGATCCCTCAAATAAAACATTTGGTACTCCTCGCTCCGCCTCGGATGACCTGTGAGATACCCCTCGTCAGGTGGCTCAGCAGATGGACCTCCTCTGGGGTATCCATCGGGCATTACCAACCGGATTGTGCAGCAGCTTCGATGAGGAGCTCCTCTGGGCACGGTCCCTCTGTGATAGCCGAGCCTTCTCTCTCGAGGTAGTGCCCTGTTGAATGGGAGGCAGGTATCCCTCGTTGTCGTAGGTCCCTCCCCCTACTTGGTGCCCTCAATGGCTCATCAAGTATCTGCCTCCTGACCAATCTATCACGTGTGTGGTGCGTCCCACAGCCTCACTACAGTCGATACCAAGCTCTATAGGTGCCAGGAGCAGACCTACTGAACCACCACCAACGAGGTCAATGTGGATTCCCTCGCTTCGACAAGAAGAGCCGCTCATTCGTGATAACTGCCGAGGCCAATGTACCTGCTGGGTCAGAGCTCTTCATCAACTATGGCGGACTCCAGAATTGGGAGCAGTTGATGTGGGAGCTTTCACTATCGCCTCCATGGACTCGCGTTTCCAGGTACTACGGCTTCTGCGAATTCGCCCAGAATCCATACGACTCTGTGACGCTCGATCTAGCTGCCAGTGGTGCTGCGGATGGCTTGCACTTGGACAGGATAGGTCAGACTGACTCGTTACATTAACTCGCAGCTCGTCCCAGGCACCGAACATATCATAAGGAGGGGTCACCCTACGGTATCGCCGAGGCTCTGGGAGGCCCTCACCAGCATGGCTGGTGTTGAGCATCCGGAAGAGCTCGAGGAGGGCGCTGTGGATTCACTTGTCAACCTCCTGAGACAGGTTGGGTCGCTCTCCATACGGCTGACCTGGTGACAGCCTCGTCATGTAGGTTACCCTTGCACCTCTCCCCGAGTCGTCAGCAGCTAACGACTGGTGGAAGGACGACTACGGTGCTGTGGTTGATCAAGTAGGCGCTCGTGATTGATCTGAAATCAGGGTGTCGGCATCCCTCAGTTCCGGAGCTCCCAAATGGCGCTGGTCGATGAGGCTGAGCGAGTACTCCGCAATATGGTGGACCACGACAGGAAGACGAGAGCAGCGCATACAAGTGGACGAGGAAGCCACAGGGTGGCCAAATCTGCCAAGAAGAGGCGGTGACCTTTGTTGTGCCTCAACGTTAATCCAACACGGTTTCTTCTCGTTATGGTGTGTTCGAGCAGTAGTGGGTCGAGAGGGAATCTTCTGGATAGGCTGTCTTTGCGAGGGTCTCATCTATTCGCAGATCACTTTACTAACCCACTGATAACTAACGCAAGTCGAGCTACTCACGGTAGCAATATGATATGATACATGGAAGTCTTAGCCATTCCTTATCCTCCTCAGGCTTAGATGGGCTTCTCGTATGGCAGCTAGCTCCAATGGCGTCAACTCTCCCAGTAGTCTCAGCAGCTTATATGTTAAATACATGAGATAGATGTACATGGCTATCAAGAAGGCCTGTAGAGGATCAGAGTATCATCTCTTGAATGCACCCGTCTTACCAAAGGCCATATGTTATATGAGATAGCGATTCCTACATGGAACGCTACTGCGGCAGTGAGGTAGAAGGAGAAGGCCCACAACAGCTTGTGACTCTGCAGTCTGAGATGAGGTTCGCCAGCACATGACGTTGAAGACGGCCTACTGGGCTCCTATGATGCCGAGGAGCGGAAATATCCCATGGAGAGCGATTAGACGATACGGATATACGAATATCCATAGAAGGCTGATTAACATGTCAAATACGCAGAGAATCTGAATGTTGCCCGCGTACCTGCTCAAAGAGCGTTTAGCTATGAGCAGGAGAGCTTCGAGTTACCGCAATAGTGTCCCGTAAACAACAGCCCGATCAATTGAGACCAACGTTGGTAGGTTACTCTGTTGGGGTACGGTGGACCGCCATGGTGATCCATCACCGCTGACAGGCCGTCCAAGGACGATCACAGGGCTTCCTAATCAGAATCACAAACATGTGATTGGCGTCAATGTAGAAAATATGCAGCTCTATGTGGATTGCGCACACTTGATTCCACTAGAGACAAGAGAAGCAGGAGATATTTAGAGTTTTTGATTGGAATCCTAGGCATCTCTACTACCCCACGCAAAATGAGCAGTCCCTGTTGTATCATCGAAAGGGTCGTAGCATTGAGTTTCTGCGACTTGGTGGCATGTGACTTCATTCATGCTTGTATCAAAATGCGTTTTCTATCGATTACATGGGCGAGCGCGGTTGGATAAGGTGCTTTGATCTTGCCTTTGTCAGTTGACTGATGAATGAATCTTCGCCTCCACATGGCAACGAACTGAGCGGCATAGAAGCGTGCGAGTGTTGGAAGTGCCACAAACCGACACCTCGACTTAGTAAGGGAACGAGGAGAGACGCTGGGAAGTGTGGATGTTATTCGACGTCAGATTACTGCGTATGGTGTGGCAACTTCCTGCTCTCGACGACTAAGGCGATGACTGCTGAGGAGGCCAAGGCCCGATTGGATGTTCGAACGTGAGGGAGAAACCCATGAATGATGGGGATTGAATCATCAGGCGTGACGGATCGACACAAAGTGATTTGGCGAAAGAAGAGCCGCCAATGCGAGCAGACGAGAGACACGGAGGAGTTCCAACAGAAGAGTCTACTAAAAAACAGCGTGTCGACGAGTGACGTTTCATAATGTTAGTGTGGTTGGTTGCTTTGCAGTCATCTGAAAATAGTGCGCAACGTAAAACCAACGACTCAACGCAAAGAGATATTGCTCGGAAACAGCAGCAGCATAATCAATCATACACATGATAATGAGGAACGTCACCATCTGTCTGTGCCTTTTGCCAAGCCCTGGGCGTGCAATGGGTCGAGTAATGTGTCCTTGCGACGACCCTCCAGTCGCTTCAACTGATACGTCATAGAAGCAATACTGTAGCTTGCGAGCCTCTCACCTCCGCATCAATCAGTGCCTTTTCATCATCGATGGACATCGCCCATTTACTTCGCTCCTGTGGTCCAGTGGCCTCATTCCATTCACGCATCTCATCCACTGAGAACTCCATGGCCCTTGGTATCTCTGAAGAGGAGCGAGCTGCAGGCCCTACCGCTCGCCAAGCCTACTGAATATCTTTGGGTCCTGCATCTCGCTCATCAGGATCCATCCGCATCCTACTAGTATCCCGATGGCATTCATCATACGCCGATATTCCCTGGTGCCAGGTCTCTGTACTGCCGTCTTGTATCGTTGCCATGCCTGGCTAAGCCATTGTGAACTTGACATTAAACTGTAGTGGTGAGCACGACCAAGGTGACCACCACTCCGACACTGGGGTTAATGATGAGAAACAAGTCGGTCATAAAAGTGTGATTAATGACGATCAACACTGATCGCATCGAATCCAAGAATCACATGATAACATAGTCTGTCTCACCTCCTTTAGTTATGAGCTTATATATAGCACCATTGTCGGCAGTGACAGTACCCTCTAAGGAGGAGTGTCAACATCGCTACCCACCTCACGGGCTCGCCCTACCACTCCAAGCGACAATCCTTTCCGCCAACTCATCACAGCTCGTCCAAGCCGACCAATCCTCGTTGGGCATGGCTTCACGATTTCCTGGGGTGTCTAGAGTCACCGGGGCGATACCAACAACCTATGGGCAATTTGATTCCACAGACGTCCCTACTAGGGTGCCGACCTTAGCCCTCAAGGTGGCATCAGAAGCAAGACTCCCGATGAGATGGTGCACGGCGGCTTTGGCACTGCCATAGGCTAAGCCCCAGGGAGTTGGTCTCTCTACGCAAGCCGCACCTGAAGTGGGGAGGAGGTGAATTGACTACTGGGCCGCGACGCTCACCTGGGAGTAGCAACAAGCCATTCTGCTTGAGGAAGTCCCCGGCAAGCTTGGCCGAGATGAAACTGGGATATACCGAGGAGGAATACATAGCCTTCACAGACCTGTCAGTAAGGGTGGAGAGATAGTGACCAGGTCTAGAGTGCATCACTCGAAGATTGCGTCGTCATTGGCGCCTCCCATGGCAAAGCCACCGCTGACACAGACCAAAGAGTCGAGCGGCTGGCCTCCTAGCAGACCAGCCTCTTTCACGATCCTAGAGTGACACTCTTCCATGTTCATGCCCAGGTCTAGCTTGATCGTATCGGTGGCTCCTGGTACCTGATATTAGGGTGTGCTAAAGAATGTAGCTGCGAAGCAACCCACTCGGTCGTTAAAGTCTACAGCGATTATACGATGCCACTTAGCCTGGTAAAAGGCGTTCACGACGGAGCGTCCTAGAGCTCCTCCAGCACCATACACGAGTACTGTAGCGCGAGAATGGGGAGCTGGCATTGAGCGTCGAGTGTATACCAGGAGCGACCAACGTTGAATATAACTACATGCCTCAGTCGAAAAGAAACTGTTGTAATAATGTACCACGAGCAATAGTGCAAACTCATGAACGAATTCGCAAATGGGCAACTCCACCCGATCGATAGGCAAGCTCGAGAACGCTGCAGGCCCCTTTGAGGCATGGCTTCAATTGTGTGCATCAACTCTTCATCTTAGACCCACACATGCCGTGCTTGGGGGTGAGCTGGATGAAGGGCGCCACCTCGTCCAAGTGCCTCCGCTCAGTATCGTTAGTGTAGTGACCGGTCATATCATACAGCCTGAGGGTGACACGTGCTCCAGCAGACGCAACAGCGACTCACGTTCTATCAGCCTCCAACGCTCCGGTAGCAGCCCATAGTGGATTATCATCCGGATCTTGGAGCGCCGCTATCTGAGCTCAAGCAGGAGAGTCTGATCGAATGAGAGTAGTACATTGAAGCACGCTTGGAGGGCGTCAGAGGCACGAATACCCTCCATCGTGCAGGTAGTGTTAGGCAGTATCAAGCGGCCATTGTCGGGCATCATCCAGCCCTCTGTGCAGAATGCTGGCAGGGTGTGGTCGAAAAAGGCCTTACTCCAACTACGACGAGGGAGGAATGAGTAGAGGGGATGCGACACTATCCTACTTCGTCTCGGACCACCCAGCGGGGCTCCGGAAGTAGTCTAGGGCGATCAGGCAGAACTGGTGGTGCCCCTAAGGGAAGAGGAAGTTCCTTAGCGTATACGGTACTAGGACGCCCACCTCCTTCCCCCATGCCTCTTGGAAAGAGCTCAGCATCCGTCTGGGGTCATTGAAGTTGCCCTGTATATGCCGCGGACCATCACTGGCCACGTAACCGACCTGAGATAGCAATGATAACGATAGCATAGACGATTTTATTACCCGTTCGGGATGGGTCTTGTCAACAGTGAAGACTCGGCAGTCGAATTGTTTTTCCAGCGCTACGATCCTCCTCGTATCACGCATGCCCTGTCCATCACTGAGGAACCAGGCTTGGCCCGAAGCTCGCCATTCTATCACCATTGCCGTCTAGCTTCATTAGCATAGACCATCCCGAGGAGTAAAACGCATTGGCCGCTGAGGTCCACAGGGGGGAGTCGCTCAAGTACTCTGTAACCGTTAGTGGACGGCACTGAATGGGAGGATTCGACGTCGTATTGGGCCAACATGATTACCTATAGCGCCACTCTCTACGAGAAGCTTTGCGCTTGGTATGAGGGGTATACCTATGAGCAACGTGGATCACAAGAGTGAGTAGTCTAGATGCTGATACCTTCAACATGAGCATGAGTAGTGGGATGGTTTCTATAAGGCCTCTTACGCTTCCTCGATAGTGGCTTTACGGGCAAGCTGGGCCTGCCTACATCGTGGCCATGCCTGGGTCCACTGGCCGAGCTGTGGAAACACACTGCTTGTATCGAGCGACCAGTGCCGCGTACGTACTTCAGGAAGCACTGCAGCCTGCGAGGGTCTATCCTGAGCATCTTCACTTCCTCATCAGTAATGACACCCTTTTGGAAGGAGGGTAATAGCCCAGAGAGTGGCCCCCCTGTGTCACCGTTGGGCCTGGTCGAGCTTGAGGTCGATACTTCAGCTGGATCATACGTAAGCAGCTGAAGAGAACTACTGGCCTCGGAAGGCTCTGACGACAGCTCGGCCAGTGAGCACAGCCTAGTCGCCTTGAGAGGTTGGCAAGAGCGTATCTATCGTATCTATCTCCTCGTGTGGCTGGTGGGCCCTCACCTCTCGCAGCTCTCGGGTAACTATACAGCTCCTCATTCTAGCGGTGGATATGGTAGCCCTCTGCAAGCCACCGAACGAGTCCGATAAGAAAGTGTCGCGTTCAGGCCGGTCGACCCGCCGTAGGGCTTGTGTGACCACAACGGATCGATGGTCCGCAGCTGCTGGAGGCGATCCCTTTCCAGGAGAAGAGACCTCCCAGGGGAGGTCGTGTACTCGGTATCTATTCTGGGAGAGATACATGGTAGCCTCCGGAACCCCACAGGGTGGAGAGGGGGCGATAAAACAATCCTGTGAGAATTCGTGGGCATTGTAGGCGACCATACCAACAACGCAGAAATGATTGTAACAGTACAGTGGTGCTCGATGGCTACACCCGTAAAGTACTCATAGCAGACGACTGAGGGGGAGGAAGTAGCCACTGCTATACCAGGCCATTGAGACACGGAGAGTGGCTATGCCCTAGTGAGGGAGTCTCATCGTAGGACAACCACACAACATCAACCTTCAGTTTCGCCCCGGCATACACATACCGAGTCCACTAAGGCCTCTCGCAACACACTGTATTATTCGAAGTCACAAGCGATGGAGTTCTCCCTTGACTGTACAGTCAAGCCAGCTGCCCTAGAGTAAACTAGAGAAGACTTGACCCAGCAGTAGGAGGAAGGTTCGCATATTGGTAGGCGCTCTATTCTATTGTGAAACCCCTACACGAGTTTGCGCTACACTGACCCCATACTTTGAACGAAATACAGTTGACGATGAAAAGTGAGCGAATATGGACAAAACAGAGATCATCAGTGGCACTGCCGGTCATCAACAACAGGAAGTGATTTGAACCCGAGTGACCACGTCTACTGTTGGGCCCTACAGCCATAACATGCACACAGCTACTCCAGGGGATGCACTAGGAAGTGGAGAGCCTTTGCAAAAAGTTGAGGCATGGGAAGGATTCTAGCACTACCGATGACCGACGGACCTTGTAGTTCTAATTAGCTGAATCTAGTGACGACTAGAGAGATTATATAGACAACAACCCAGTGTGAGGGAAAATGCGAAGTGGCCTACATAGCTCAGGTAGATGCAGTAGTGGTAGTAATAGGAGTGTAGACAATCTATATGTATTGGTGACCACGCTCGAAAGCGATCTCAAGCCTACGATTCCATCATCATCATTTACGTGCACGGTCAGGAGAGGCAGTAGTAGTATTGCAGCAATAAAATTAGGCATTCGTATTATTTTTCTAACCATAACAAGTTCATTTCAATGTTACAGTGTTGTGGATCATAGTCCTAGTAGTAGAATCACTCGTATGCATGATTATCCAAATGACCACTAAGACTACCAAGGCCAGACCGTCAAGGGAGGCTGCTACTATTGCCACCGTTCAAATCTGCACATACGTATGAGAAATAATGTTTCCATCTCGAAAAGGTTCGGCAAAAAGGAGGCCATTCCGACTGTGAACGAGGAGCGACGCTCGAGTATGCAACAGTCCAATTACAAAGAGCTCCTCTGAAGTGACGTCTGTTGTTGATGATATTGCTTGCAGTGCAAAATGCCCGAGCTCGAGCCGAGGCAGTTGGTCTATGATGAGTTGAACGGCAGCAGCATCAGTGGTAGGTACTGGCCAATGCGGACAACAAGTAGTGATGAAAAGTGACAATAAAAAAGCAGTGATAATGACCATGCATATTGATGTAATGTGATACTCCTCAGCATCGTCATTGCAGCAGGATAATAATAGTACACATCTCTTAACATGCTCGAATACTATTGACGCCAGAACCTCCAGGTGGTGACCTCAGACCCTCTGCCACGACCACCTGGTTCATCCATAAGGCCAATCCCATTAGCTTTAAGCAGGTCTCTAATTCTATCAGCCTCCTTGAAGTTGCACACCCTCCTAGCGTTGTTCCTCTCCTCGATAAGACGCTCAATCTCCTCAACAGATGGCATGCCAGGTGGCATTTCGAAATGATCAGCATCGCCTCCATAACTCGGACCAAAGACAGGATGGAATTCCCCACCATTCCACAGTCCACCGGAACCCACATGATCCCCCTCGTAGGACGAGTATCCACTCTGTTGGCGTCCATATCGTCTCTTACCATTGCCACCTAGGGCCGGAGTCTGTGATGCATCGGTTGCCGCCCTTGGACTCGATACCAGAGGATTCTCCTTCACAAGCACTTGCAGGTCTTCCGGATAAGGGATGTTCCTCTCCCTGCAGAAAAGTCTATATTCACCATACACTTGCTCTAACAACATGCGCATCTCCGACACCGCAATTCTGTACCTACAACACGGCGTCTCACTACCCATGTGGGCTACAAGGAGCACTTACCCCTCTGGATCCTTACAAGAGACACACATGTGCAGGGGCTCATGGGACTCCTCTTTAGCCGTGCCCTCCAAGAACCCAGAGCCCTGCCCACGAAGACGGAGCTTGGCGTTAGACAGCTTAACGATCCTCTTCATATTGGCGCCCTTCTGCCCAATCAAGCGCCTGGCCACGTGAAACTCTCTATCATTCTCTATACCAATCTCGAACCGACACGTGTACTTCCTGATTCTACCACCATCCATACCATCATCATCAGGCGACACAATAGATGGTGAGGAGTTATACTTGCCGTACGTCCCTGATTCACTTCGGCCCAGGGATGCAGGTGGCGGCGGGGGAGGAGGGGGAGGGGGAGGAGCCACACCATTGGTAGGGAGTCGTGGTAGACTAGGAGGGGCGTATGATCTGTTATCCGACGATGAGGGAGGGGATGCATGCAGCCATGCAGGTGGGGGTAAGTCCGAAGACACGACCGGAGACGATTCACCTCCAGTGTTGTGCCTACAGATGTTCCATGAGCTCAGTATTAGGATGGAGGCGAATACCATTGGACACTGAGGCTTCCTCGCACTCCATTGAGCGTCTTTCCATGTAAGTCTCTGACAGCATGCTCCGCTTCGCCCATACTGGAGAAGCGGATAATAGCAGATCCTCCGTCCGGATTGACGGTGACCTCGCGAACTTCACCATAACGTGAGAAAACCTGAGCTCGGAATGCACACTTGCGATGCTTCAACTGCCCCTCATACTTTCCGCAGGTCGTCCTCTGTTAACTGATAGCTGAAGTTAACACCTTCAACAGTCACGGATACAATAGGCGCACTGGGCAGCCGGGGTAATCCCATCTGAAGTGGCAGGGCAGAGGCTCCTCGCGGAGTTTCGGGCCTACCGGCTACTACCTGCGAGAAGTTAGGGAGGTGCGGTATCGGGGGATAAGCGCCGCCACTCTGAATAGACGAGAATCCAGTAGGGGGGAATTGGGGCGATTCGGACTCACTGCCGAGAACGGCATTGACAGTTTCCCCGCAACTGCTTGGGTTGTATTGAAGTAGTTGATCAAATGGGAATAGATATGCTGCACCTGTAGAGTGTCTTAGAGACTATCTGTACAATCATGTAGTTACGGCTTGCTGTTGAGCTTCGATCCCTCCAGGGTGACTGCCATAGGGGGCACCAAGAGAGGGCAATCCAAGCGGGGGATGCTAACAGTGTAATGGGAGGAGGGACCGGAAATGCAGCCTACATGGCCATTGGCTCCATCGCTCTGCATTTGCTTATGTCTATTCATAACTAGTTGGTTGACAACCTACTTACAAGGTCGAAAGTGGGTGAAACCGTCACATGAACCGACCTGCTCTAAGGCGGCCGAGTCCATAGATCGAGTATCGGGCGGGTAGGGTTTGGGCTCCCCGAGAGCGGCGCCTGGTGGACAGCCGTAAGCTGATAAGAGGAGAAAAGGTGGTGATGAGGAGAACCTCTGACGGACCATGTTGTTGTTGATGATCTTGTTGTTGAGGGATGTGGGGGTCTGAGCTCCCTGGAGCTTCTCCATAGTATGCACTTCTCATAATTAAGGCAAGGTCCTTCAGTCAATCTTCAATAGGAGCCACAGGGGAAGGGTAATACAAATGCACGGGTTCAAATTAACAATACTACAACCACTATCATCCTCGACATCCCTGTCCACGTCAAATTGCGCTTCTGCGGAAAATTGCATCGCTCCGCTCAGGTTGTTCGTAGACGAGTATCTTATTCCCTCGGGGTCTTGGGGTCTATTTCCGCTCAGCAATTCGGCCTATTAGCGCACGCCATCGTGATCGATTTTGTCAAGAATGCATACGGGGTTCTATCAGCCTGAAGGGTCAGCCTAGATAACAAAACGTCAATCCGGAACACATGGTACAGAGCTCTCCCATCGATCCATGCTGCGGTCTATAGACTGACTTCAGGATGCTTCCGTTGGTAGCGTATTTTTCGAAATTTTTGACCTCTGCCGTGGTGTGGCGTCTAAGTCGTACCCCTGGTCGTGCTATCGTCTTCCTCAACACTCAAAGAGTAGTAGCTAGGTCTCCCTATGGATGTCTCAAATAACGAGATGCTTCTCTGCTCAGCACTGCTCATTTCTAGTACCGTCACCTCTTCGAGGCTCACTAATGTCCACGTTGGCGAAGGACGAACTCGCACACTCTGTGCAGAACCATGCTGATCATGATGTTCATTCAGGGAACTCCACGCCTGAGAATCCTGAAGGTAATAGGACATGGGAGTCGATGTAAGGACGAGGGTAGATGTGGGGAGTAGGTCTTAGTAAGTCGGCATTGAAGAAGCTGAAGAAGCAGGAGAAGGCGGGTAAGAAGAACAAGATGAGTAAAGAGGAGAAGGAAGCACTCTTCCAGGGTAGTAAGGCTTAGATCGTATTGTTAGTGTGGAGGGGTAGAATACATGTCACTGGCTCAGGTAAGAATAAGGGTAAAAAGGAGACGAAGCCCGTCCCTCAGAAGAAGCAGCCATATGTGAATAAAACCCCAATTGGCGAGAAGAAGGATTTGTCCGAGCCAATGGTAACACAGTTTCCCAGTACTCGAGGAAAATTGGCAATCTAATGGCTCTCCAGGCTGATTCTTATGACCCTGCGGCAGTGGAATCTGCCTGGTATGACTGGTGGCGTAAGCAAGGGTACTTCCATGCTGACGCTCAGAAGGCCATGAACACTGTGGACTCCCAGAAATTCGTCATGTGCTTACCGCCCCCTAATGTCACTGGTACGCTCGCCAGGGAGTGTGTAGGGTAGTGGAACCTGTTTAGGTACCCTCCATTTGGGTCATGCCTTGATGTGCTGTATCCAAGACAGTATGACTAGGTGGCATCGGATGATGGGTCATCAGACATTGTGGATCCCTGGTATGTCACTCCCGCGGAGGTTCGATTCCTGGCGACGTCGTTTCGCTGTCTATAGGTACGGATCATGCCGGTATCGCCACTCAGTCTGTTGTGGAGAACTTGCTTTTGCGTGAGGAGGGCCTTTCTAGGCACGACTTGGGTCGTGAAAGGTAAGTCCCTACAGCTCCGCTCAGTCGCCGATATTGTACTACGTATAGGTTCCTGGAGAGGGTTTGGGCATGGAAGAACGAAAAGGGCAACACCATCTGCAAACAGATGGAGCGCTTAGCGAGTAATGATAACGGTTGGCCTGTGAGCCTGACGAGGTATCGTTCAGGTTCCTTGGACTGGGACCGTCAGTTCTTCACCATGGATGATAACCTTTCCACTGCTGTCAAGGAGGCATTCGTATGCTGCTTCACATTTGTTTAATAGAATGCAAAGCCAGTATATGGCAGGTTCGGTTTTACGATGAGGGCAAGATTTACCGTGACACTAGGTTGGTCAATTGGTGCCCCTATCTGCGCACGGCACTCAGTGATCTCGAGGTTGACCATATCGACATCGACAAGAGGACCCTTCTCTCGGTAATTGATGATAGGTCTGCTTGCTATCGCTCCATTAACGCTATGATCAGGTTCCTGGTCTCCCTGATGCCAAGGTAGAGGTGGGTGTTTTGGTTGAATTCAAGTATCCTCTCAAGGAGGACCCTACCAAGTAGTACTTGTGTGCAGGGTAGGAGTGTTGGATATCTTGGCTGTAGGTTTGTTCATATCGCTACTACCCGTCTGGAGACCATGCTGGGTGATGTAGCTGTGGCCGTAAACCCCAAGGATGATCGTTTTACTCACCTTATTGGCAAGGAGCTGGTCCACCCCTTCATCCCTGATAGGAAGATGGTCGTTATTGCTGACGACTATGTTTCTATGGACTTTGGTACTGGTTGTGTGAAGATCACACCGGCCCATGACCCCAACGATTTCGCCATCGGTCGTCGACATCAATTGCCGGAGATTAACATCCTCAATGATGATGGTAATAAGGCTGTATAGTTATACCATGTTGGTAGAGTGAGCGCTTCAGGCACTATGAACGATAACTGTGGTGAGTTCGCTGGCCAGCATCGCTTCATCGCACGTAGGACTGTTGAGGAGCGCTTGAAGGAGCTTGGTCTCTTCGTTGGAAAGACTGATAACGCGATGAAGGTAAGCTTAGGGTGAGTCTTGGGGCCTTGGTGACATGCTGGGTGTAGGTCCCTCTGTGTTCCAAGTCTAAGGATATCGTTGAACCTGTGCTGAAGCCTCAGTGGTGGATGGACTGCAGCAAGGAGGCTGCTCGTGGGGTAAGGAGACCTATAGCTAGTCGCTTTGACGCTTGAGAATAGGTCCAAGCTGTGAAGGAAGGCAAGCTGAAGATCGAGCCTAGTTACTACGAGAGCACTTGGTTCAACTGGCTTGAGAACATCCGTGACTGGTGTGTATCTCGTCAGTTGTGGTGGGGTCATCGTATCCCTGCCTATAAGGTGGTGAAGCCGTGCTACACTGAGGAGCAGTGGTAAGGTCACGATTGGAGGAGATTGGGAGGAGGTGTGGTATGACAGGTTCGTCGGCCGGAATGAGGCTGAGGCACTGCAGAGGGCTTCAGAGAAGCTCGGCATCCCTGAGAGTGACCTCGAGCTGGCCCAGGATCCTGATGTTTTGGATACCTGGTGAGCAACTGTCCTCGGTAATGGTGGTAGAATTCCTCCTTGTAGGTTCTCGAGTGGACTCCTCCCTATGTCGGCTCTCGGGTGGCCTAACATGAATACTGATGACATGAAGGCATTCTTCCCCAGCTCGGTCCTCGAGACTGGGCACGATATTCTCTTCTTCTGGGTAGCACGTATGGTGATGATGTCCTTGGCCCTCACTGACGAGCTCCCCTTCCACACTGTATGCTTGCATGCTATGGTCAGTCCCTACATCGTAAACTTCGCCACAGGTTGTCTTGTAGGTACGTGACGCTCACGGTCGTAAGATGTCCAAGTCCCTTGGTAACGTCATTGACCCTCTTGAGGTTATGTCGGGTATTGGCCTCCCTGAGCTACAGGAGAAGCTGAAGCATGGTAGGGTGAAGGCAGTCGCTATGGGTTTGGTCATGCATGTCTAGGTAACTTGCCTGAGAGGGAGATCAAGAAGGCTATGAAGGGTCAAGAGAAGGACTTCCCTGATGGAATCCCTGAGTGTGGATCTGATGCTCTAAGGTGGTGCAACGGCTGTGGCGATCGCTCCTGTCTTCAACACTGCTCTGCAGGTTTGGTCTCCTAGCGTACACTGGTCAGGCTCGCAGTGTGAACCTTGATATCAACAGGGTGGTATCTTATCGATACTTCTGCAATAAGTGAGGTAACTTGGCTAGAATATTTCGGCATCTCCCCTACAGGTTGTGGAATGTGATGAAGTTCGCCTTGCCGAACTTTGGTGACAACTTCACGTCCAAGGGTCTTCCCCTCGATGCCAAGCTCGAGTGGGAGGACAAATGGATCCTTTCAAGGTGACCGCCTCCTCACTCTTCATTGTTGTCGATTGTATATGCTTCCAGACTCTCCGATGCAGCAGGGGCTGCTAACAAGGGTATCAAGGAGTTCAACTTTAGTGATGCTACGACGGCTACCTACAACTTCTGGCTTTACGATTTCTGCGACTACTATTTGGAACTCGTGAAGAAGCGTTTCCGTGCTCTCGAGGGTGGCGACTCTGAGGAGCTCCGGATCGCTAGAGAGGTACAGTAATCCGAATGTCCATCCTCTGGTGTAGTTTTTTTGTAGGTGTTGTACATATGCTTGGATCGTGGTCTAAGACTTCTTCATCCCCTGCTCCCCTTCGTGACAGAGGAGCTCTATCAGAGGATCCCTGATGGCATCACTAAGGCAGAATCCATTGTCATTGCTGAGTAAGGACCTACGAGCATGCATTGTCGTACTAGCTCGTCCCTAGTTACCCTCAAGCAGTGATGTCTTGGAGGAACCTCGCTGTGGAAGAGGAGATGGTACTTCTTCAGTCCACTACATCGTCCTTGAGGTGCTGGGGTGTTATTGTATTATAAAGGAAGGGAAGTGCTTGTGTGTTGTAGATCTCAAGCTGCATCACTTGGCTTGCCACCGAAGGCGAGACCGCATGCTTATATCCGTGCTGCTGACCCTGAAGCCCGACGAGTATTGCCTAAGATTGCCGATCACGTAGCTACTATGGCTAAGCTGTCGTCCCTCAATGTCATCGATGATGCCAGTGAGGCTCCTGTTGGGTGAGTCTGCCTATTTGGGCTACAGCAGTGGTATGTTATTCCTGTCCCTTCAGCACTATTGCGAACGTCGTTTCTGAGCATGTTACCACTTATATGGAGGTGGCTGGACTAGTCGATCTCGCAGCTGAGTTGAAGAAGCTCGAGAAGAAGATGGGAATTACCCAGCACAACTTGCAGACATACGTCTCGAAGAGAGAGGTAGTAGAGTGTCCGTATGATAGTAGTTAGTATATAGTGTGTACGGCTGCTAGGTACCGGACTATGAGGAGAAGGTGCCCCCGCAAGTTCGTCATGCCAACGCTGCTAAGGAGGATTCTTATAGAGCTGAACTTGCTGAGCAGGAGAAGGTGATCGCCCAGATCAAGGCGGCCATGGAAGTCACTGCATAGATGAACACTTGCTAACGTTACTGTAGAGTACTTGCCTATCTTCATCTCCATCATCAATCCTGTATGTACTGTGGATATTGACAGAACTCGTGACGGTGGCAGATGCGCTGTTTCTATTGCGTCTAGAGGTGCGTCTGTTTGTTCTATAGCTGCCTCAGCACGCCTTCGCACGATATTCCGTTCGAGGTTGGTGGTGTTCAGTGGTCAATCGGGCAGAATGTGCATGTGGTTTACCTTCCCAAGGGATCGCCGGTCTCGTGTTGAACTGTCAGTTTGAGCTTTTATCGCATCCCTGTATAATGGCGCTCATCGACTACAACCGCGGGGACAATATTCATTTCTAAAAGGAAGCTCGTCATCAACTCAACGGGAGCAGCAGCGGCCATTGGAGGTTGCCCATGGGAAAGCTGTCGTAGATCTAGTCAAGAAAATTCTCCCCCCCGTATGAGGACGACGATCGGGCATGAGTGTACTAGGGTGGTATGGTTTTGGGAGGTTGGTCTTGGCCAATCTTATTATCTAGGAGCAGAGCCCTTGCTCGATGACGTTGTTGAGAATGGAAACGGAAGAAGAAACGGTTTTACTGGGGTCAACGCGTATGGGTTGATCATGAGCTGGAGCAATCGTGTGATTGATCGGGTAGTGGCGCTGAGCTCTTCACAGCTGGAACCGCAGTGATTTGGGACCATCGAGTCGGAAAAGTGAAAATGTGACGAACTTCGTGTCTAATTGCATTTCAAAGCACGTTTGACGGTCCAGGTCTATTCGGTGTTTCCTTATAGTTGCTTGTGGAAGTTCAGTGGTGGGTAAATTCTCTCTAAAGAGACTATCTCGAGGTCTGGTCTAGAACTGCTGCAGAGGTGTTAACCTTGTTGTTTGTATCACTCGTGGAATGGCCAGCCCCCCGTCGGCTCCTCGTCATGGGGGTAAATCCGTGGAGCAGATATATAAGAAGATGACCCAGATTGAGCACATCCTTGCGCGGTAGAGTAGAGGCTCCCGTTTGGTGACGTTTGGTACCGTTCTCGTAGACCTGATACCTATGTTGGCAGTCTGGAGCATCAGACTGAGCGCATGTGGGTATGGGAGTCCGAGACTGGTCATATAGTTCAGAAGCAGATAACAGTAGGCAGCATGAATGCGGAATAGAAAGGCAGTAGTCACATTTAGTTTTGTCCTGGACTATATAAGATCTTCGATGAGATCCTCGTCAATGCGGCTGATAACCTCCAGCGAGATCCGAAACATATGAATACTATTAAAGTGGGGGGATGCTCACGCTGTGTGCTAGAGAGTTCGACGCTTAGGTGGACATCGATGCTGAGAACGGCTTCATCAAGGTATATAATAATGGCAAGGGTTTGCCGATACAGGTGAGCTACTGAGAGTCGACCCGAGTTCGATCCCGGCATGTGACACTTGTACCAGATACACAAGGAGCATCATGTTTATGTACCCGAGTTAGTATTTGGTCATTTATTGACAAGTGACAACTATGATGATAAAGAAAAGAAGGTTAGCAGCAATGTTCCTGAGTGCTTCCAGCACATGGTGCCTCGACGACAGGTCACTGGAGGCCGCAACGGCTACGGCGCAAAGCTGAGCAATATCTTCTCGAAGAAGTTCCTCATCACCACTGCTGATCGCACCCGCAAGAAGCTTTATAAGCAGCAGTTTGAGAAATCAATGCAGAAGAAAAAGGAACCGGTCATTACCGACTATGACAAGGAGGATTTTACCTGTGTGCAGTTTTGGCCGGATCTTGAAAAGTAGGGCATCAATCGCAGCGACCCCTTGATACGTCTCATCAGGTTCGGTATGACTCATCTAGATGCCGACATAGTGAGCATGCCATGAACGGCTTGGTTGACCTCTCATCGCAATTTTAGGTGTCACTCATGTCTAAACGTGTAATCGATGTTGCTGGTACATCAGCATCGAAAAAATGCAAGGTGTATCTCAATGGTAATAGTGACATGTGAATGCTCAGATTCATGATTAACTAGGTAAACGCGTACCCATATCGAGCTTCAAGGACTATGCTGAACTGTATCTCACTGGAGAGTGGGTGGATGCTCCTAAGATCTACGAGAAGGTAGCTCGAGCTAACGTGTATGTTTCCTGTGGACATGTGCAGGTATCGGACCGGTGGGAGGTCTTGGTAACGCTGAGTGACCCCGCGGGTGGGGGTGGGCAGTTCCAGCAAGTGTCCTTTGCCAATTCAATCAATACTGTAAAGGGTGGGACTCATGTGAACCATGTTGCTGAACAAATTGTGAACGCCGTGTTAAAGAAGGCCCAGACGAAGAACAAGGGTTAGTCCTGCTCGTGGCAGACCATGGTGTGCTAGTTGGCTGACAGGTGGTATGGAACTAAAGCCTTTCCAAGTGAAAAACCATATGTGGCTCTTCGTGAATGCTCTTATAGAGAATCCAACCTTTGACTCGCAGACCAAGGAGACACTCACGTTGAAGGTACCTCAGTAGTAGCGTAGTCGGCAATAGGGAGCACTTGTATTACAGGTGGCTAAGTTTGGGTCCAAGTGTGTTCTCTCTGAGGGTACTATGAAGAAGGTCCTCAGCTCAGGGATAGTAGATCAGGTAGGCCGCTGTGGATGTACCCTGGTGGGACAGAGGACTCACCGTGTAGGTCGTCAACTGGGCTAAATTCAAGCAGACTGCAACGCTCCAGAGTAAAATCAAGGTAGTGGTGAAGGAGCTGTGCACATCGAGGATTGGGTGTTCATGCGTGCTAGGGAGGCACGGGTGGTCAGACGAGGATCTTCGGCGTGCCAAAACTCGAGGACGCTAACGATGCTGGTGAGAATCAGATCATGTGTGTAGCTTGGTAGCTTATCTTGTCTAAGGTGGTCGCTATTCGGACCGGTGTACGCTGATCCTCACAGAGGGAGACTCGGCCAAAGCCTTGGCAGTGGCTGGGCTGGGGGTTATTGGTCGGGACAAGTAGGAGGGGCGAGGCTTAGATACGACAGTTACTATCGCGAATACAGGTACGGGGTATTCCCTTTGAGAGGTAAAGTGTTGAATGTGAGAGAGGCGTCGTATAAGCAAACCGTTGACAACAAGGAAATCCAGGCCATACTTAAGATCATCGGACTCGAGCCTAGGAAGGCGTAAGCTCAGGGAGAATGCTCTTCCTGACCATTCTGACGCTACAGGTATGACGGTGTGAAGGGCCTGCGATATGGCTCCATCATGGTCATGACCGATCAAGATCTCGATGGGTCGCATATCAAGGGACTGCTTATAAACCTAGTGTAAGTCATCTTGTCGCATACCATCGTGACGCCACGGAACTTTCGCGTCACGTTTTACCTGGGCTGGCCACTGTGGAGTGCCCCAAGTGAATGTGCCGTTCAGGCATCACTGGTGGCCTGGCCTACTCCAGACTCGAGGCTTTATGAAGGAGTTTGTAACTCCCATTGTGAAGTGTGTAAAGGGCCGACGGGAGCTCAGCTTTTTCACGCTCACTGAGTATGAGGAGTGGAAAAGGAACAATAATGACGGCAAAGGTAGCGGCTCAGTTTGGGCGTACAACTGGGCAGTGCAGTGTCAGGCTGGAAGATAAAATACTACAAAGGTCTCGGTACTAGCACCAGTAAAGAGGCTCAGCAGTACTTCTCACAGATCTCAAAGTAGCGGAGGGAAGGTCGAGAAATGTCCGACGTACGGAGGGACTTCAGGCACAGCCTTTCTTTTGATTATCGTGACGGGGATGATGGTGAGGCGATAGATATGGCATTCAATAAGAAGAGGGCGGATGATAGGAAGGAGTGGATCAATGGGTACTTGGGCACTCATTGGGTTCGAGCGTGGTCAATTGGATCGATTGTCAGTTACGCTGATGGAGACTGCGTTGACCACTCTAAGGCATCTCTGAGGTATAGTTGGTGTTGCTTGGGGAGCTTGACTGTGTGTTGAAGGTATTTGGACTTCATCAACAAGGAGCTTGTCCAGTTTTCGAAGTATGATGTTATGAGGAGTATCCCTAGTATGGTTGATGGTTTTAAGCCCTCCCAGGTGGGACTTTTTCGTTTCCTCTGCGAGGCAACAGTGTTGCTATTCAGCGTAAAGTGCTGTTCTGTGCCTTGAAAAGGAACTTGAAGTCTGATACTAAAGTGGCCCAGTTCGTGGGGTATGTTTCGGAGCATGTGAGAAGTGTCTGGCATTAGAGCGATCGAGTACTCTTCCCTGTAGTCGGCCTATCATCACGGCGAGCAGAGTTTGGAATCCTGTATCGTTGGCATGGCTCAGGACTTCACTGGTAACCTCACGAGTTTACTCATTCTGAATGCTCCCTATGTATCAGGCTCCAACAACCTCAACTTGCTGTTCCCCTCGGGTCAGTTCGGTACCCGGCAGCAGGGAGGAAAGGATGCTGCCAGCGGACGGTAGCCCACTTGGTCCGTCCCTACTATGAACACCTAGATGCACTCAGATATATCTACACTAGACTAAGCAAGTATACTAGGACCATATTCCATCCGGATGATGACGATGTTTTGGAATATCTAACAGAGGTGAGAGGACTGCTAGTCAATAACACCTGTGGTACTATTGTGGGCATCAGGAAGGGCAAAGCATTGAGCCTAAGTGGTACTGCCCGATCATACCAATGGTCCTCGTCAATGGTGCTGAGGGTATCGGCACAGGATGGTCCACCAATGTGCTCAGCTATGACCCTAGAGAGATCATTCACCTGCTAAGGGCTCTTATACGAGGTAAAGGTGGAGGACCTCCATCGCAGTATGGCAGTTGTATTTATAAGGTGTTGAACTTCACGATATACATCCCTGGTATAGAGGCTTCACGGGATCCGTGGAGCGAAACGATAAGAATGGTTACGACTTCGTGGGTAAGGTGAGGATGGCCAGTGATGACAGGACTGTTGATATCACTGAGCTACCAGTCAAGACGTGGACGCAGAATTATAAGGAGTTTTTACAAGTATGATGGAGGGGTATTTCAATAAGCGTTAGTCAGAGCACATCTTAGGAGATGATGCAAGCTGGTCATGAGGCTATCACACAGGAGAAGAAGGCCAAGGCTAAAGCGAAGCGGAGAGCAGCGGCCGCCAGTAGTGACGCTGGTAGGTTGTGGCTCTGGGGTTGAACGTGGACCCCGTCGTGAGGGTAGGGTCGGAGCCTGATACGCCTCCTGCTGGTGGTGGTGGTGGTGAGAAGGATAAGGAGAAGAAGAAAGGGCCAGTAGTGAAGCTTGGTGATCTTAAGGAGTAACCAGCCTCGATACTCTTGTTGTTTCGGTCATCCTTCTCGGTAGGTATCATACGGAGCACAGTGTTCACTTCAAGTGCACACTCCAAAACGAGGCTGCTAAGAGCGTTGTGGACTCCCTCGGACTGGAAAAGGCTTTCAAGCTGCGCTCAGCATTCTCCACAACCAATATGGTTCGGCATTGGCGGTCTTTATTCTATCACTGAAGTGCTGGTCAGGTCCTGTTTGACAGGGATGGTAAGATCAGACGCTACGACAGTGTGTTGGATATCATCAAGGACTTTGCGGACTTGAGGCTGGACATGTATGTTAAGCGGAAGGATAGCCTCATTGCTAAGCTCACTAAGGAGATTCTTGTACTAATGCCTGGGCCAGGGTGGTTGGGTGAGGATGTCGGTGTCAGATCCTATCTAATAAATGTCGATTCGTGATGATGGTTATCAATGGTGAGATAGTCTTTCAGAAGAAGAAGATTGTACAGTTGATGGAGGAGCTCAAGCGAAAGAAGTTCATGACTATGATGGAAATTGATGCCCAGACTAGAGCAGCCAAGATAGGCTCTCTCAAGGGAAAGACCGTCGCTGCTTCTTCCGCTACAAGTAAGCTGTTTGTCTTTCCTGATTTTTGGAGGAGTGGTTAGGTGATGAGGTGAAGTCAGAAGGAGAGTCCAGTGAGGAGGAAGAGGAGGCGGACGAGGAGGCCAAGGTTAGTTATTATTAGTAGTACAGTTGAAATCAGGTCGCCCATGTTACTAGGTCGAAAAGCAACAGAAACGCTCGGGTTATGACTACCTCTTGGCGATGTCAATGTGGAGTCTGACTCTTGAGAGAGTGGAAGCAATGGAACGCCTACTGCATGATAAGGAGGGGGAGCTTAAAGTAGTCGGAGGATAGTGTTCCGTTCTATAGAGGGGCTATCAGGTCCTTCGTGGGCGGAGTATCGAGGAAATGTGGGACCGGGACTTGGTACAGCTGTTGGCGGCATTGGATGAGGATGATGAGCGACGAGCTAAGGATATACAGGCGGAGGCTCGATACAGGAAGAACAAGCCTAAGATGGGCAAGCTAGCTGCTAAAAAGAAGAAGGGAGCTAGTCCATCGAGTACACTATCGTTCACATTGTAGAGGGGACATGGCATGTGCCTCAGGCAGCGAGAACGACTATGGTAGTGAGGATGAGATCATGAGCGATGCAAGCGATGTGAAGCCGTCAAAGAAGAAGGGCGGCAAGAAGGCTGTTGGGCATCCGGAAGATGTGATTAGTTCATTGTTGCAGAGGTGAGGAGTAGAGTGAGGAGACTGGAGAGGTATCGTGTGCTTAACAGGTACAAGGCGGATGGAGACCTGTGTGAAGTGGATAGGACTACTCTTGAGGTGAAGCCTATGGAGGCTGATGCTTGGAGGAGGGTGAAGAAAGAGGAAGGTGATAAGACAAAGGCATCCTCTCGAGGAGGTGAGGAGAAGAGTGTGAAGGTGCAGGCCTTCGAGGATATTCGAAGGATCAGGTGCTTCCGTGAACCCCTCGCCGTCAACGAGCCCAACAGCATCCCCAACAGATGATTCCTCCACGACTAAGAAAATAGAGATGGGTAGTTGCAGCACTGCTGCTGGGCTGTGCCGTAACGGCAACTGAGTTCTGTCGGCTTCAGCTCATCAGCGGTCCTCGAGTATCCTTGAGCGTTTACGGATGAAGAATGAAGGGAAGAGTGCATCATCACAAGTTGTGAAGTCATCGGAGGCGTCGGGTGAGTCTTGGTATGAGATCCCTTATGTCGGTTTTGTGTTCACCAAGCGTTGATGTGTGGGTCTTATCGATCTGCCTCGTTATGCTTCCAGGCGGCAAGCAGCTGACAATGAGCTCCTTCCTTAAGCCGAAGGCCGAGGTGAAGGTCACCGAAGAGAACTGGCTTGATAGTCTCGTAGCGTCCCGGAAGAGCAAAGACGAGGTTGATGCGGAGTCCGAGGAGGTGGTACTTGGTGGATGCCACTGTCTTATGATGGGGTACTGTGTAGTCGGGCTCGGTGTCGAAGCCTCCGACACCTAAGGGGAAGGCTAAGGCAAAGGCGAAGAGGAAAAGTCCAGCTAAAGGGAAGAGGAACAAGGCTGCTGCTTCTAGTAGCGAAGTCAGCCCTGCGAGCTCGGCTGAGGAGATCAGCAGCGATGACGCTCCGGATTCACCTGTACCCAGGAGCCGAAGGTAGCTTGCGAATATGCTCGTTGGTCTCAAGAATTCTTCTAGACCTGCCCGAGCTGCTGCTGCCCGCGCTGCTAGGAAGAAGCTGATCGCTTCGAGTGATTCGTCAGACCAGAGCGGAGATTCGGGGTCGGAGTCGGCCTCTGGGGAGGACAGCCCTCTGAGCGACTTCAGTGAGCACTTGAGCACAGCGTGTGGGCATGAACGCTTTTGCAGGTGATATTTCGGAAGACCGTCCTAAGAAGAATACTTTGAAGAGAAAAGTCACAACAGACTCCCCCGCAAAACCCAACAGGAAGTCGCCGGCAGGCGGGCGTAAGCGGCGGAAAGTGGTGAGCCCTCCTCTGCATTCCTTGAGCGACGTTAAGGTGATACGTTGCTAGGTACGCCTCGACAGTGATGATGATAGCGATGAGGACTACAACGATAGTGATTATGCATAATTCATACCTCAATTTACTCGGCTCCCAATTCGTATGCTTCCAATACTATAACGCGTTCAGTGTAAAGAGTGAGCATGGAAGATCGCGGAAAGAACGGCCTGATGATATCTCTGGGGATTGCTCTTGAGGTTATCCTCGTGGCAACGATCATTTGTTTTAGCGTTTCCGTGTGATGGCCATTAGTGTCGCTCTATGCTTCACCAGCTCATACGGTATGCACTAGAAGAAATCGCCTACTCCGGGCCCCCTGGGTCGAAGTAAGGTCCCTTCGAAGGCTGGTAACATCACACTACCTCTCTCTCGGCAGATTCAGCGACATTGTGATGAACTTGAATAATAGGAAGGCGGAGGGAGCGGATTGCCCTCAGCTATTGGAGGCTTTGAGGCACCATCTACTCCACCCTGAAGAGCTTCAACTTCCATGTAGACCACTACTACTGCTCTCAGCTCTGTGCATGCCTCAATGATCAGGCTTCATCGCTGAGGGCAGCGGAGAGGAGGAAGATCCCGTGATTGATGTTCTGGAGGAGTGAGTCCATTCGGTCGTCATCACCACAGTCACTTGTGTGTATTCACAGCTACCGTAACAACCTCCTGGGTATAGCTTCGCATCCCGACATCTGCGAGCATGTGGTCCACAAGAGCATCATCTACCTCGTGTCCAACGCGAGATACCAGGGCTTATGGGGGTATCAACTATGCCCACTTCTTAATATCGATCATAAGCAACTGCACCATCTCACTTCGAAACTCGTAAGGCTTTCATTGTAGTAAGGCTAACACCGTGGCTGCAGATCCAAGAAAAAATCATCGTACGATTCAACCTAATGATCCCGAAAGTCATCAGACGTCAGCACAAAGGCTCCGTATCGCCAATAAGCTGCGTCCTCTTCCTTGGTGAGCTCGGAGGCCTCTTGAGTACTTGTGAATCACGCCGCTGTTATTCAGCACAATTTTATGATCTACAGCGGATGGACCCTCTGCTGGCCTCTTCTATTCTCTCCGAACACATAGAGCCCATCAGCGATCGTGTCGTGCAGCTGCTTCGAGACTCGCCTCATCAGCTCCTACTAGAAGTTGATGTTCGTAATGTCGTACATAGCATGTGAGCCGATCAGCTAACACTGGCGGTCCACTGCTAGGTCTCTGTACTCAGGTTTAAGGGAAATCTTAAGCGAGGCCAGACTCAATTCCGACGCTGCCGTGATAAACTGGAGAGGGAGAAGAAAATAGAAGTCGTGAAAGTGTGGAGTGCTGAGCTGAAAGTGTAGGAGTTTTCTACTCCCTACTGCCGTTGCCGAGGCGGATATGTGATATCGTATATGTGGATCGTAGATACCGCAAGGCGATATGCATTTATGGAACTCATGTCGACACCAACGATATTTCGCTCACGCCACAATTCGCTGATATGGGTGCTCAAGAGGAAGATGATGGCCTCCTCTCTTCCACACCACGAAGAGGTAGCGACGGTCCACCCTGTATTCAGGCGGAGCGAAGTTTTTCAGAGAGTGCTCCGACTTCTATTCGAGGGCTAGAGTCGCCGAAGACAACGAGGTCAGAAGGAGATGAGGAGTACGCCAGCAGTGAGGGGATGAAGACACCGAAGAAAAATAAATGGGTAAACTCAATGGTCACTAGGTTGGGTTAGCACTACCAGCCTGTCCAGGTTGGTGTTGGCACATTTTTCCGTGGTCACGTTTCTCCTGACATTATTGCCGATTTGGTGCGAGCATCGGGCTCTAAGGGATTCACTAATGCTGAAATGTGAGTTCATGCTAGCCTGTCGTGGTTGCTTTCATGCCTTCTCTGTTCAGATCGAAGCAATTGCCGGTTGATAAGAAGTTCACAGAGAGGGCCTTGGACTGGACCCTCAAGGAATACCCGGAGATCCGCAAGGACAAGGACACTAGAGGGAAGGTGTCGTTCTGGGTGTAGGGCTGAGGGCATCATAGCCGACTCTGATAATACATTCTCTAACATGCAGATATCGCTTCGGTCAACCAGAGGACGAGAAGCCCCGTGCTATGCTCGAGGACCAGTTCGTGCCTATTATAGGGGATGAAGATGAGATGCCTGCGGTTCTTAATCTAGAGGGTGGTACTCTTCGTATTGATATCAGCCTCGGAGTCACAGAGCCCGTCGCGACTGGTTGCCTGTGTAGGTCTCTCAGCGCTAGGCAGGGAGCGGGCTGCCCGTACATTACGTCTTGTGAGGGAACATGGGGTATTGTCGGTGGTCGATCTTGGGAGAGCAATCGATGCGGAGGAGGTGCGTCTGATGTAACGCTGTGAGCTTTATAGAAGATTATTCGGTACAGGGAAGAGGGACTAAAATCGACAGGAAGACTCTCACAAAGATCGCTGATAAAGTGGTGGAGTACGAGCCTATGCTGAAGAAAACATCTACAATGTATATCGCTATCTCGGCAGGTAACGGCTTTCAGTGGTTGAGGTCAGGTACCGATCACAAGACGTATCAGTAGTGTACTGGGGTAGCGCTTGTACCGAAGAGGAAGCACAACAACGAGTCACTGCAGCACTACAGTTGAAGCACAGCGAGCTCACTAGTAGTAGTGCTATAAAGAAGAGGAAGAGGGACTCGCTAGCATCCGAACTCAAGGTAGTAAGCTCTGTGCCCTCCTTCGTGAGTGTAGTCTTTCGTCACAGTCCGAAGCTGATGAGGATGCAGTGACATCAGCAGCAGCGGCGTTGTTAGGTGGAGAGTTTAGTAGTCCTGAAATCCCGACTGAGAGTGAGGCTCTGTCGGTAGCTTAAGGTCATGAGAAAGGTCTTATAGATGCTCTCGCGACGCAAGCACTCTTCCCAATCGTCGCTAGCAGTGTCGATGTGGCCCATGCTGGTCCTAGGAGGAGAACAGTGAACGATCTCAACGCGGCTGCAGTGTAGGGTTCACCATCACGACTTGTGGGCAGCTCCTTTAGGTATCGTCCGCCTACTATAGGGAAGACAGCGAGCCGCTGTGGAGGGACGTTTAGTCAGAACGTCTGCGTCCATTACGGCTATGTCGGAGCCATAATGCTACGGTGCAAGTACGATATTGATACTAGAGTGGCTGTCGTCTTATCCTGTTATCATGTGCTGGGTGTCGCTGACTCTATTCCTTCCCTGTTGTAGGTATCTTCATCAATTCCTCCTGAAGAACATGAGGGCTGCATGGTTCAATGCAGAGGAGTTGACGATGTCTCTAGATGTGCAACTTTTCTTGCAGGCAAGTCGTCGTTATCGCCATCTTCCCGACAGTGATGGTCAGTGTGGGGAAATATACACATGGTCAAGTACATATGTTGGTGACAATATGAAAACTATGGGGAAATTTTGGCGATTTTTTTTGGTTTCTGTGCACTTCAACCCGAATTCGTGTGTAAACTTGTATAGTTAGTGAGGAAAATCCTGAGCTCAGATGAGGAAAGCGAACATATATTCGAACGCTGTATTCAGATCGTCGGCTGTGGTATTCCTCATCCATATTTGGACGAATACCTTGTGTCGGGTTCACGCTCTAACTTAAAAGTTGGGGACTTGCCTCAAGACGTGAAAGACCATCTGACCAACCCCTTCACCCTCAGTGATGCTCGCAATAGGAGGGCTAAGAGCTTCGCTCAGATCAAGTAAGAGTCTTACTGTGTTCAGTTCATACGTGAGGCTATGGCACTACTTCAGGCAGTTGTTGTCCCTGCTTGTACGCCTCAACCTCGTTAGAGTCGGTAAGGCCTCTGAGGTCGACCAAGGTCATCACCCTGGAGGAGATAGTGTTCTGTACGCTCTATCAATGGCTTGCTGCATGAGAAAGTCGTCCATAGATACTACGCTCACGATAAGGTAACGCTAAAGCCCTTCCTGCCCGCTTCGGACGCGCCGGACTCATTACTACAAGAGATCAGCGAATCGGAACACGTAATCATTTGAGTTGTGCGGCGACGTATAGTCCCCACTGTTCAGGACCCTGACGGTGAAGAATATATTTTCTTCGACCCCGAAGAGCTCCCTCCGTCATCGCCCGGTGCTGACAACAGAGACATTATGGATGCATGTAGTAGTGTTGGCGGCGGTATAGTTGAAGTAGGTCTAGGTTCTTCCACTCAGGTGAGGACTTTTGGAACACCTTGCAGAGGAACTCGCTACGTTGGCGTCGGAAGGTTATGAATGCGGTGGAGAAGGTCAATGAGCAACAGGAAGGAGAGAAGAAGCCGAAGACCAAGCATTCCTCTGAAGTCTTCTCTAAGGGAAGAGGCCAACTGGTAATACTGCCATACCGTGTATGAGTTGGAAGCATGTAAGAGAGCTTTCTGAGTATGACGAAATTTCATCAAAGTGCGTCAGCCGCATGTGTTGACCGTAGAGGAGAACTCTTTGCATGGAATGAACGCAGTAGATGGGCGTATGAGGTTTTGGTGTTTCAGCCCGCTGGATGTGACGTGTCCGAGCTGTTCTTCCGCAAGAATTGGACTGGTACATTATACGTCTCTGCAACCCAAAGAAATGCTTTGGAGCAGCTGTTGAAGCAACTGTCCGAGGAGCCCGTCGATGAGTCCTACCTGGTGAACGGTGTTAGAGTAGTGGATGCCTCGAATCCACTCGTTAAAGCAACTTGCCTCGAGCACAACATTGATCTCCATGTTGCACTCAAATACCTCCGCCGGAGGGTCCTCCTCAGTGGCGAGAAGGGCGATAAATTCAAGCAAACTGTCGACTTCGTGCCAGTCCATGCGGTCCGCTACAAATGCCACATATGTCACTTCCTCACTAGCCACCGTGTGGCCATACTCAGTCACTACCGAGCCCGGCATGGTTACGAGCAGCTGCCTGATGACCCGACCCTCTACACTGCTAAGCACTTCATTCAGACGGTTCTCAATAGTGCTGGAGCCACCTCCAGGCATAACTATAAGGAACTCATAAGCTCCCAGGCTCTCACTGATCAGCCGAGGCCTCACAAGCGTAGGAGGAGGAACAGATCACAGGCAATGCAGCAGTTGGATGAGGTGCAAGCAGAGGACGCCCCTGTAGAGGGTAGCGGAGGTACACCAGATCCCCATCTATCGTCCTTCGAGATAGCCCTGTTCAAGTTCTACTTGGCTACAGCTAAGAAGCTCGTCGACTATAGAGAGCCTGCTATAATCACGAGTGAGGTTCCAGAGCCCAATCACAGGATTTGGAGTATAGTGGCAGCTATTGTGGGCAAGACTCCACAGGAAGCCTATCGGCTAGCACTACGTTCGGCTAGGGGTAGGACGACTAACAAGTCGGGTATGAGCCATGGCGTGTACAACTACCTCCCGCTGGGTTATGAGAGCTCTACTGCGCCTATTAATGTGGTGCCTTCTTATCTTAATGCCACTAAGGATCTACTCGGGGACTCCATTCTATCGGCTCTAACTCGTATGATCTTGCTGACGCCTAATAGCTCCTATAGCAGCCATGCTACGCGTCATTCACTCTTCCGCATGGGGTATAAGGAGGAAGACATCCGAATGAGCTTCCAACTATGGCATGCTAGAGGGATGGTGGGCAGAGCCCGTCGAGCTGATTTCGCCGGCAGGAAATTTATGCTCTCCAACATAGCACGCATGGCCGTGTACGGAAAGGCTGCTGATGTAAGAGTTCCTATGAGGAGCCTCGGTTGATGCACACTATCAGATATCCCTCTTACGTGATGGCCTGGCCTGCTTAGAAGGCGACGCTGACTCGGCCGGAGTGGTACATGCTGAACCAAGCGGTAGCTGGATGCAGGTAGGCTGGAAGGGTATAAGATGGGCGGGCCAGTATGTAATACTAGGTACTAGCTAACTGTGTAGCTCAAGGGAGAGTCACGCTGGACTGCATTTGGTTTCCGGAGGCTACTACCAAGGCTCCACCGGCTGCTGCGGGCAGCGATGTGTCGATACCTAATGTACAAGAAGAAGAGGAGGAGGAACACCAGAGTGATGCGGAAGACGATGAGCTGATGGAAGATAATGACGATAATGAAGAGGGAGGTAATGAGCATTTGCAGAACTACGGCTGGTGACACGGTTGGTTTCCTTGTAGGCGGCCAACAGATATTCGTTGGTATTCGCAAGCATCTGGAGTTGACTCAGAGACCTGGGGGACCTGATGGGAATATCTCCAAGCCTCCACAGGTGATGGAGGCAGTATCATGGGAGATCAATGAGGACGAGGAGGACGTCGCCTCAGATGAGAGTAGTGAATTCTGGAGCTCTAGGTGCGTAGGGTAACTTTTTGATTCAGGTCAACACGGGGCTTCGGCATCTGAGTTCCATCGTGTCATTATGGAGGTAGCTCAGAATGCATCGGAATTCAATCCGGCTGGATATGGCGTTGTCGCCAAAGGGGATGTCGTTACGGTCACACCCGAGGCTGCGGAAGAACAGGCAGCAAAAGAGCATTACAAGGTGGGGCCGGATATGGGGTACTTTAATACCCAATTTCTCTCTAGGAGAAAGAGTATGAGAAATCCGCTGAATGGTCGCCGGCCTGGACTGAATTCATGAAAGAAGAGTATCCGAAGCTGGACGCCAAGAAAACTCTCGAGGCTGCTAGTTGGCTACTCCATAGGGTGGATTCGGACGTGGCTCGAACCACGCCACTTGGCATGGGGAGCTCTGAGGTATTTTTCGACGAATCCACATAGGAGCTCATGGTTCCCTGTTTAGGCTGATCTCATGCAGAAGTACAAGAAGGCAATGAAGCAGAAGAGACGGCGTTGGCCCGATTTCTCGACGGTGGTGGAGATTCTTGAGAAGCTCCGTCTGACTACTAGGATCGCATCAAATACCACCGATTCGACAGGCTGGATGATTCTGTCAGCTGAGCACGCTATGAAATCCTCATTCGGACGGTATGGGCGGCCTGAGGAGTACCATCCTGACGCCCCCTCGGAGGTGTCTCTCCTCGCGGAAATGATAAGTAAAGCTTGTCCGTTGTTCAAGCGAATTTGGATGCCAGAGAAGGCCTCTACAGGGACTGTACAGGCGGCATGCCGAGTCCTCGAATCAGCTCATTTGGATATCACCAAGAGCGCTAAGACCGGCTTCCCGACCAAGTTTCTGCCAGATGACTTCGTCCCCTTGGCGGCTTGGGTTTGCGCCGGCAGTTCCACTGGGCCTGGCTCGGTGAACTTTGGTGCTATCGCACAGTTGCTGCAGACCGTGATGCTCAATTTACAGCAATCACCTGGCCTTACAAGCAGCATCATACAAGATCACATAGCCGTGATTCCACTATGTGAAGTGCAAGTCATCCTCGAAATGCTGACACAGGGAGGTGCGGTGTATACGGCCAGTGAAGAACTAGCCCCTCCTATCGGGGCCTGTTGTGAGGCCCGTTTGTTCAGTACTGAGGATGAGGAATCTAATATTGATGATCCCGTCTATTACCTCACTTTGCCAACGTATTCTTAAGCTTATCATACATCGCCGAATATGTGGTGTTGTAAGAGTTATTGGTTGTCGATTGGAAGGTCGACTCGAGCAAGTGTGATTGCCGGATGATACTACTCGGCGAGGTTGAGACATCTAGGGTGTCTGAGTTTCCAATCCAATTCGAAGAAAATTCGAATAACTTGTCGACACTCATACTGAGAGAAATGCCCACAAACATCTCGACTTTCATCTGTCATGAGCCGCTCATTACAACGAGACCACGCTCATTATGAGCGTGGTTCTCTGAGGAGACTTGCCGGACGATTTGAGTTTCCTATCAAGCGCTGTAACACCATTCTAGGGGATGGCTAATACGTTGCAATGGTTTGGATGACTACTGGCAAACGAAATATGATCAACCATATCGGAAACTTTTACATGCTGGGGCAGTATCATTCTTCATCTATGCATTTCTTAATACCCTTCACTGTCCGCATTCCCTTGCCAGTACACAGCTTGAAAGCTACGGGCATTATGATATCAGTGCACGGTACCCATCCCCTGCGCTTGCTCAGTATACTCCTCCGATATTGAGGGAACCGGAACACTGATGTCTTGTGCAGACCGGCCTCTCGCTGTAGCCGTATGTTGTCTTCCTAAGATATGAGATCATACCTACCAGGTTGAGAGCCTCCGCACTCACCGACTGAGCACGCCTCAATTGATGGTTTTGAAAAGTAGCTCGCGCAACGAGTGCCGCCGTGGTAACCCTCGGCGCATCAGAAGCTGCCAGTTTCGCAGAGATTGATGCACGTGATGCCAGAAGGCGACTCGTAAGATTCGACATCACCAAAGCCATGCACTGTTGAGATCCAGGGATGCAGGTTTTGGAACCAAACAGGGGTGATAGAAATGAGATGGTAATATGGTGCTGAGATCCTCATCTTGAGGCAATTGTTCAGAGGAGAGACATCCGGCCGATGTATATGCAGACCAAATATTTCGTGCTAAACACAACTAGAATTACCTCGTCACCTTACACTTCAACACTGATACTTGTTTTCCGGGAATCTCCATGAATATCATCATTGGGGCAGCATGGGCCGTCAACAGATGTCGCACTTCAGCGAGGAGCACTGCACCTGACAACCACTGTTAGGCTTCCTCCATAATCTATCTGCGTTATCGCTGGCATGAGCCACTGCCGAGTTAGCTTCAACCTTGCCTCCCGAAAGGGAAAACTGCTCAGTTCTTGCGACTGTTGCCGGCTGATTTGCGGAAACATCACAGGGAGAAGATTCCTCCTATGAGCTTGCAATGCTGCCATTGCTTTAGCGCAAGCCTAGCAACACCTTTAGCGCCTATAGAACTAACACAGTTTCTTGCCATCTGAGTGATGCCACTCCTGATAGTTTCAGCGTGTGATCAGCATCGAAGATACAGTCAAATTCCACGTGAATTAGTTCCCTATTCACATCGCGGAACACTATCTTTCCGCAATGCCAGTTACCGTGACCGATAATGTATCTAACTATACGTGAGAAGGAATGTCTAGTGATAACCCTGTTGTGTATACCCGACCAATAATCAGCATCATGGGCAGCCGTGAGGTCCCACTGCTGCAACATAGGAGGAATCTCGCCCATCAATTGCCTAGGCCACGCGGGGTACATTCATCAAAGAGAATACCCTGGGACCAGCCGTGAGTACTACCTATCCCCTCCACTTCTATCGCCATCCCTCAACTGGAAGTGCCAAAACCACAGACACCCTACGCGAGGGCTCCCGGTCTTCGGACTGACGTGCTTAAGGTAGGCCACATGCCCTACTCCACCCTCCCATTCCTTATTTCAACGCTTCACCGAGCCAACAGCACTAGAGAAGGATCCTTACGTGGGCAACACTCTGCTATAACACATCGTACAGAAGACCACTAACCTCCAACTGAACATCAGGGTCATTAACCCTTATTGACGGGCACAACAAACTCAACACTCAGAATATTAATGCTACTACCAGAAAACAACATAGTTGTTACCCTCACAGATTCAGTAGCAGCGCCAAGGAGATCGATAACCATCAGTGAAGCTCCATAAAAATGCACTATCAGAGAGGAGCTGCTAATGATGACAATCCTCCATCATCACCTCTTCACTAATGCCATAATCATCAACTATACAGCTATCGAGTCTCATTAAGAACCCATGATAATGTTATTGATGGGGATGAAGACTAGCTTAATACTGTATCCGATGAAGCCCATGATGCAGAAGCCAATGAAGCACGCTGATGCCATCTTCTTGAACTCTAATAAGAGCAACCAATGATAAAGGCATCACTCACCAAATAACTTACCCTTCGCATCTGGCTTCTCGCATTTCTGGATGAGCCTCCTGGAATCTATCGCGAACTCACGCAGACCAGTGTTGACATACCCGACGGGGTTGGACTTGTCGGTGATGAGTTCGTTGAATCCCATGACTAGATGAAAAAGTAAGGAGACACCTAGGATATGCCAGATGACCATTATCGATCCCAACCCCAGCCAACACGGACACCACCACTACTTCGAGCAAATCTTATGATGGAATAGTACACTACAAAATCATGTGCGGTGTTGTGGACAGCAACAAGACTGAACTAACTACTCCAGCAGAGCTTTGATCAAACCATACGAGAGCAGGGTTGACGTACAAAAATGAAATGGAGCTGAACTATGGTACACGATGAAGAAATATCGTCACGACTCGCCCCAGCTGAGGTACTCAGGGTTCCCTAACCTGTTCTTCTTACGCAGATAAGTAATACCAAAGACTATAGCGAATACACCACATATAACACCAACGGCGATGTAGGAGTACCCCAAGATGCCATTCTTGCCGCCAGCCCAAGTGGTAGTGGCAATAACGATGCTTTTAGTACCACCGTATTGGGCCGTGGGGAAGTTGTCCGATACTGTGAATCGAAGGACATCGCCAACCTATGCAAACACATGATCGAAAATATTAGACAATTTTTATTCACCTTCAAATCATCGTCTATTCGAGCGTACATCTTTCTAAACGTTGGTAAGCCTGCCGGCCTCATCCACCCAATAAAACGGCCATTCAGAAGACCCCAACCCGCTGGGTTGAGTTTCCGCTCGTACCCCTCAGCAGCACTACATGCAAACTCCGGATCTACACCGTCAACTCCGCCAGGTACCTAGTGAAAGAAATTCCACGACTCGTAGGAAGAAAGATCGATGTTATTTCCCACCAGAGTGAATTTGCACTGAGCCTGATCGGTGATGTAATTGGTGCAAGCTGTGTGGTTCGTAGCCGAGTCTGCGGTAGCACTCATAACGTATATTTTCTTGTACTCAGATGAGTCCTGTCGTGCTGATATCGGTACCTTCATAACACCATAGCTATCGTAACCAATGTCAGCAGTACTTACGCAAACTTGAGGGGGAAAATAGAAGTTGAGCCACATGTTCAAGGACACCTGATTCTGAATCCCCTGGTCTATGGACCCCTCTGGGTCTAGATTATCATACTTATACTGTACATCATCTTCCCAAGCTATAACCGTGTTAGTCTGGAGAGGAACATAGTGCACAAGCAAGCAGTAGAATAGAGAACTACCTCAGTTATATTAGTCTGTTCCCACACTGCGGAGTTTATACGCTTAGTGTCGATGATGTAAGAATCGTTGAAGGTTGATCTTGCGATCAGTCCACAGGGGTAGTTACTACACAGAAAAGGCAAGGAATACAATGACTACGATTCTCATGCAGTCACCTTACTTCCGCCCGAACTCATCTCTCTCCCACGGGCTGCAGTCACCATTAGCACCACGACTAGTAGAGACACTATCGGGCCCTGAAAGGAAAAAGATGATACGTTCGATGCCACCGGCCTTCACTGACTTGCTAGCTGAGAGTAGTCACGAGAGGCTATGTAACGCCTATGATTCTGGTAGAAATTAGTGAGCTCATAATATCTGAATCACAGCACACCTGATGAAGTAGAAAACCGAGGTTTCGGACGCCTACACATATATAGGAGCTTTCATATCCTCATTAACTTCGATTTGCACAGGGAAGACGCCACCGTCGGCCGCCAAGTCAGTATAGTCAACGCTTTGCTCGTTGGTACTCTTATCCGCCTGAGCGATGAAGAGGACTATGATCAATAACACAGCGTCGACTGCCTACCTCGACCAATCCAATGCCTATTGCAACGAAGGCTGCCGCGAATGCTATGAACGTTGCTATCACCCATCTGATGATGAAGGAACATTAATACCGAAGACAAAGGGGAAGACCTACTTAGGGCTGAGGAGCGGTTGCCACGCTCGTATCCGCTGCTGAATGAGATCGTTATCATACTGCTTCCGTTGTCGGCCTTGGCGATTCCGAGGCCTCGATGGCTCTCCAGGAGACTGCTCTGGAGCGGTAGTCGGCATCAGAGACGGAATCTCCTATGGGCCAGGCACAGTTGATAGGAGGATGAAACACGGCGACGATGGTGAGAGAAGAGGAAAGGGTGGTGAGGAGTGCAGTCAACCCATCATCATCAATATTAACTTATCGTCATCATAATCTACTACTACCTAATGGAGCGAGTCCCCATTCGACTAGTGTGGAGAATCTGTATATCACCAGAAGGAACAGTCGATGGCGATGACAGTAATGCGCCATCTTTATTGTTAGCATGATAGAGGCTCAACGATAGTAGTAGTGAATTCATGATCCCAACAAGTGCCTGCTCACTAATCGACAACAGACTGAGTGATGGCACATGAAGGCCTAAGACGACATGACAATGGTGATGATGATGATGCTTGGTATAGCCAGGGGAGATAGTACACAAGAAAACGATGAAGATCTAGGAGCTGCTGACGGTGTTGTTGCACTAGCAAGGAAACGTAGCATGAGTAGCCAAGCTTATAGTAGTAAACTTCTCGCAAGCACCACCAAGAACTAGCTAGGCCTGAGAGTCATTCTGACCATCGTCATCCTCATCATCAGTCGTAGTGGTCAGAGACAGCTCTAATGCAACGTGCGAGGGGTCCTTAGTGAAGTACTCGAACGACATGCTCGAGGGAGGCCGCCGGGTAGGAGACTCTTGAAGCTTCTGGGTTCTGTTCCCTTCAGAGTTGTCCTCAGCAGATGAACTCAATGGGGCGAACAACGGCCTAAAGTGTTAACTATGCAGATAATGATGAAGTCGGGATTCCCTTACGCAATAGCTTCTCTGAAGATAGTTCCCAACCGGAGGACCTCATCCTTATCAGAGGTCCCTACCCAAAGAGCTAGACGTATATTATACTTCCGTACAGAGCACACAGCGCCGCACACTGCATCTACACCAGTGTCACGATTGGGGAAAGCACTGCCGATCAACGATAGTAATATGTTGACCCAGGATTCGTCGATACTCTGACAAGAAAGCCCAACGGGATTACGACGATGTGCTGATGGGACGGTATACCTCCTTTTGGTGTTCCGAAGCAGCTCCCCTTCTATTGGGTCGATCTACTGAGACTATCCATCGGCCACCCTTGGCACACGTCTCATCCTCCCACATCGGGGCAATGCCTTGCCGGAATACACTATAGTCAGCATAGGTCAGTCGGCTAGGCGAAGATACGTTGTTAAATACTCGCCAAAAGTCCTCCACAGAGGTAAAATCCAATACCCGCTTCTGGGTGCCTTTCCAGTTGTCCTTCTTATCCTGCAATTAACAATGACTACATCGACTACTCACACTACTACCTTAGTCTGTGCCTGATACATGAGCCAGAAGCTCCAGGTGTGCTCTAATGGATGTTGAGACTGGATATCGTAGTAAGAAGATGATGGGAGAGGCGTGGTAGCGCCACTACTACTTGAGCATGGCTCCTCATCAGAATTGATGCTAATTGAAGATGATGTGGTA